AAGAGTAAAACAGAAAATTTAATACCTTTCTTAATTTGTGTGAAAAAACCTTAAACGACAACTAAAACGAAACAGAGAGAATATGTTATTTTGGAATTTCGCCAGTGAGTTTGAAATTATGAAAGTCCCAATTGGTAGTGTTAAAAATGTGGGAGGTGTACAGGGGTAATTTAGGAAGCTTGGGTTATGAATGCAAATCTTAGTTCAGAATTCAGAAGTACCGCGAATCTGGGAAAAGAACAAGCCCAGCTTTTTAGAATTACCTTTAACCCCCTTTAATTTAAAACAATTTCTTTATTCTCCTTTACCTTTTTTTTAACCAATTTTTGCCTCTTTCTCTTTACTCTGCCCCTATTAAGCAATTCACTAAAAGCAAAAAATTATATGGAAACCAAATTAACATCAAGTAAGATTGAAGAAAGAAAAGGAGTATTTTAAAATTGCGTACATATGAATCTATCCTAATACCACGGACTTGTATATGTGAACAATAACAATACTTTCAAAATCAAAAAAGAGTATATGGATAAGCATTCCACGTAACTAACAGTGCATTGTTATGTTGTTTCTAGATAAACAAAATCTTTGCGTGGTTGAAATTGAAAAATAAATCTTTATATCTGTAAAGAAAAATTTGAAGTCACGTTATAAGAAAAAACCATGCTGCATCCCATGAAACAAATTAATTCCAAGAACATTATCCAAAACGAATTTAATGTTATCCAAATAGATCAAGAAAATTAGTTGGACCGTCTAATGAAATGCGATCCTTGCTGATTAGCACATGACGTGTTCATTTAATTTTGCCACCATTCCACCGACCTCTACTCTTCTTTTTTTTAGTAAAATTTTATGTTATGATATCTTGTGATACACAATTTATTAACGTTATGGTTATTTTGAAGTTTTTGCTTTTATAAAAGGAAAATTGATAGTGAATATTTCCATGATATTTGGCGTATGAACTGATATTAGTCAAATTATGGGTACAAAGTACAGTAGAAAGTTTAGAGTACTATGTTTTGGATTTGTTAATAAATTGGACATGAATGGTTCGATGTTATATTACTCGCATTCTAACTATCTTTATCATAAACAAGTCTTCTGATAACTTTTTGTTAGTCTTTTCATACCTAATTAGAGGATGGAAGAAACAGTAATGAGTTACATTATCCCGAAAACAAAATCTTGAAAAACGAACGAAGATAATTTGGACATTTACTCGTTATGTGTGTGGAAATGGATACTTGGATAGAGTCGTTGTGCCATCTAGTGCGTCTTCAAGTCAACGAATTATATTTGATTTACACTAATGCGTACATCGGCGACAATTTTATTCACACACTACTAACACCTCTGGTGACCACTTTTTCCTTTCTCTGGATTGATGTGTTAAGTTTGGTTGGATTTCATTTATTCAGAATTTTATTATTGTTTGATAAAATAAAATTAAATAAAAACCAGATTAAAACTAACGTACTAAAGATATATATCACTTATTTTTTCAGATGTTCACATTTTTTAATCATTTATAAAACAGAATAAAACTAATGTGGTGATGAATGGTATATCACTTATCTTTTCATTTAAAACCAGACATACGTACAAAAATCCACCGGCTCTTAAAGTCAATATCATGATGCAGTTAATAAATGTTCACATAACGGGTAACCAAGTGGCTCAAAATTATGTGACAACGTCGCATACTTAATTTATCTTATGATGTGGATAATTAGTAAAGCATTATTTGTAAGAAAATTATTATTATGGATTCACAGCTAAGAAAATACGAAAAGACAGCTCAACACTTTTCCACTTCTATCTCCACTGTCTATATAACTCTGATAACTAATCTCTCCATCTAATATCTCTTCTCAATTTCGCTTCCACTCTCCTTTTGTTTGCTAAAACACATCCCAAACAAAAAAAGAGGGTCTAAAAAGGATCCTAAAAACTTTACGGGTCCTATTTAGAATAAAAGAAATGCCTGCCGGTGGATTCGTCGTCGGAGATGGCCAAAACGCTTATCCCGGCAAACTCACTCCCTTTGTTCTCTTCACTTGCGTTGTAGCTGCCATGGGCGGTCTCATCTTCGGATACGATATCGGAATCTCCGGTAAAACTCTCTCTATTTTCAGATTTTACATTTCCACCCCAAAAGTATCTATGTAGTCATCAACACCCCCCAATTCAGAAATTATGATTGTCTTTTTGATACGAAAACATTAGATAGACCGCCCCATACTTTTACTTAGTCATGATGACACACAAGGCTCAGACAGAGTTACAGAATCACCAACAGTATTATAAGTTTTGAAATTTTACAAAATCGGCCCATATGTTTCTATAGAGTCATGAAAACCCCACATCCATGTCTGATCAATTTTCTTGGAGATTTCTGTTAATGAATTTAATAAATTACAGGTGGTGTGACGTCGATGCCGTCTTTCCTTAAGCGATTCTTCCCGTCGGTGTACCGGAAACAACAAGAGGACGCGTCAACAAACCAGTACTGTCAGTACGATAGCGCGACGCTTACGATGTTCACTTCGTCTCTATATCTAGCGGCGCTAATATCGTCGCTGGTGGCTTCCACTGTGACAAGAAAGTTCGGACGGAGGCTCTCGATGCTCTTCGGCGGCATACTCTTCTGCGCCGGAGCTCTCATCAATGGTTTCGCTAAACATGTGTGGATGCTCATCGTCGGTCGTATCTTGCTTGGTTTCGGTATCGGTTTCGCTAATCAGGTCCGTCATTAAACACCATAATTTTAATTACGATGGTTTAGTTTATAAATAAACATAAATGTGTTTCTATCAAAATTGATCTTTTATAAGTAGAAAAGAAAACTAACAAAAATAAAATTATGTTTTCAATACTATAGAAGTTATTAATGTATTGGAACTTATATTTATAACCGTTATAAATGTGCCTTGGTTTTGAAAAAAAGTTATGGACCAAGCCAACTACTTTCATTGAACATAATCATAAAATAGTTAGGTCAAGTTGACTTTAATAATCAATTTTGCTTTTCTACGACGACGATCATTATATTCCACGTTATGTTATATGATAATATAATTATTGAATTTGTTATTGATTTGTTTTTCTGCTAGTATCCACAATTCCACATGGTCTGTTCATTAGACTGTGATGATGTCTCTTTCTCTCCATATCCATTGTTCTAATTTTATCTTTTTGACTTCAATCCATTGCTTTAATTAAAGATATATATCGTTTTTGACGTCATATCGTATATAAACTTCCATGTTCCATCACTCATTGATGCGGATCTTTAGTTTAGAAAAAGGTCATTTTCGGATCGTATTGAGTTATAACCTAATGACGTAATTGACCCTGTTTATATTCCACATTTACGTCCATAGCCTTACTTGATCCTAAATAATCAGAATCTTCACTTCACTTATAACTGTATCTACTTAAATAATCAGAGCCTAAAAAGTCAGATTTGGACACGTATCTACTTAGAACTGCTAGTTACGTAACTAACCCTAGTCAATCTCTCTATTTACAGGCTGTGCCACTCTACCTCTCTGAGATGGCTCCGTACAAATACAGAGGAGCTTTAAACATTGGTTTCCAGCTCTCAATCACAATCGGAATCCTCGTCGCCGAAGTACTCAACTACTTCTTCGCCAAGATCAAAGGCGGTTGGGGATGGCGGCTCAGTCTCGGAGGCGCGGTGGTTCCCGCCTTGATCATAACCATCGGCTCCCTCGTCCTCCCTGACACTCCCAATTCAATGATCGAACGTGGCCAACACGAAGAGGCCAAAACCAAGCTCAGACGAATCCGTGGTGTAGATGACGTCAGCCAAGAGTTTGACGACTTAGTCGCCGCTAGTAAAGAGTCGCAGTCGATAGAGCACCCGTGGAGAAACCTCCTCCGCCGTAAATACCGACCACATCTCACGATGGCCGTTATGATTCCGTTCTTTCAGCAGCTAACCGGAATCAATGTGATTATGTTTTACGCTCCGGTTTTGTTCAACACCATTGGTTTCACGACCGATGCTTCTCTCATGTCCGCTGTGGTCACTGGCTCGGTTAACGTCGCCGCTACGCTTGTTTCTATCTACGGTGTTGACAGATGGGGACGTCGGTTTCTCTTTCTTGAAGGTGGTACACAAATGCTTATATGCCAGGTAAGGAACAATTACTACTATATTTATCTCTTAGATCTATTATAAACATATACTAATCAAAATGTGTTGGTTCACTTTCTTGTGTGATTGTAGGCTGTGGTTGCAGCGTGCATAGGGGCCAAGTTCGGGGTAGACGGGACTCCTGGTGAGCTACCAAAGTGGTATGCTATAGTGGTTGTAACGTTTATTTGCATCTATGTGGCGGGTTTTGCGTGGTCATGGGGCCCACTAGGGTGGTTAGTACCGAGTGAAATCTTCCCGTTGGAGATAAGGTCCGCGGCGCAGAGTATCACGGTGTCAGTGAACATGATCTTCACGTTCATTATAGCGCAAATCTTCTTGACGATGCTCTGCCATTTGAAGTTTGGGTTATTCCTCGTGTTCGCCTTCTTTGTGGTGGTGATGTCGATCTTTGTATACATATTCTTGCCGGAGACCAAGGGGATTCCGATAGAGGAGATGGGTCAAGTGTGGAGGTCACATTGGTATTGGTCAAGGTTTGTGGAGGATGGTGAGTATGGGAATGCGCTTGAGATGGGTAAGAGCAGTAACCAAGCTGGAACTAAGCATGTTTGATTTATCATTGTTTTTTTTAAGAGTTTTAAGGAAGAAAAAAAGATTTGTAATTTCTAATTTCGTAAAGGAAAAAGGTGTAGTAGCCTAGATATATTGGTGTTTATATAATTCAATATCCCATGGCGAAATTATGCGTACGATTCTTCTTTAATTCTCTGTTATTGTTATACTCTTTACTTAAACCTTTTGATTCTTCCTTGGCAACATTGTACTTAAAAGTTACTCCAATGAACCATCAATAGCAAAAAAGCCAAGAAGCTGAAAACAGCAAAAAAAAGCTATAAGAGAAAAAAAAAATTGTTTGAAGTACAATGGTTCATTGGTGTTAAGAAAAGAAAGACAAATAAGTTTCATTAAGCAGAGAATAAACTTTGCAAGTAATAAACAGGACCGACGGGTTCTCTAGGTTTGTAGAATAATCTATAAGATTTGCTATGGAGATTATATATCACCACTGGATCCAAAAAATCACGACCCTGAAGCAATAACCATTTCTTCTCCCTTACAGCGATTGGTAATAGCGCGAATTCCGGTTTCCTAAACCAAGGAAAAGTTTTGGTGAGATCTATCGAACACATTTTCTTCCATGTATTGCTGCCACCCGAAGAATCGAACGACCATATTACTTGCATGGGCCAGTTTTTCAAAGATACGCACAAGCGGTCGTTGAGGATGCAAATGGTTTGGTTGCAAGGGTTTGATAGGTGGCCAAAGGGAGCTTTACATAGGACTTGAAAAGTTTCGGTGTGAACATCGAAAGATAAAACCTTGGTTTCTTTGCACTCGGTGAGCCAATAAAGAGATCCATCTAAATACACGGGTCTATTATAAGCACTTATCCGATAAGGAGAAGCAGGGAAAACGTACCTCCAAGCGTTGGTACTAAAATCGAAAAGCTCACAAGTGGTAACGTTGTCTAGTCCGTACTCGGATGAACTATATAACCAAACCGCCTTGTATATGCCCCTGAATTTGTCCCTACCGAGTCCAAGCTTAAAACTTATGAATTTAAAATATAACCTGTTGTACCTCTCGATGACCAACTGCTGATAGCCGGAAAGAGGAAAACTTCGATGCCATTTAGTGGCGGGATTCATCACGAAACTCGGTGCATAGACACAGTAGAAACATACTAGACCGTCACAATGACCATAGCAGAACATGCTACCCGAAAAAGGGAACCTAACCTTAGAAGCTGTTGCTAAACTGAACATAACTGTTCGTGCATGTCCGCTCAGACCAGCATCACCTTTTTCACAGAGGGACATCAAAAGAACATCTGGACCTAGAGCTTGCCTACTACAGATCAAGTTTCCTTCTTGGAACCGTTGGGACTCGATTGTCGATTTCCAGTTCTTGGATACAGACTTGAATCTCAGCAGAGGTTTCACAGGAAGTCTCTGGAGGATGAGCTCTACAAGATCGTGTGGTAAGAATTCCAGACTCAAGCAAAGTCTTTTCTTTGTTTGGTTTTCACGGGAGCGATGTCTCTTCAACATTGTCTTGGCTCCTACTTGATCAACAGACGACTGAGGCTTTAGAGCAACAACAATGGTAGAATCCTTAAAAGGATCCTTAAACATTTTTTAATCATAAATTATGGCAATTTTAAAATTAAGAGTTTGTGATGAATCCTTAAAATTTTCTTTGTCCAATGGTAGAGTCCTTAAGTGGGTTTCTTAAAAAAAATTTTGAAAAATTATAAACATTTTTATTTGGTAAAACTTAATAATTATTACAATTTCCTAAAAAAATTAAACATACAAGGCATAAAACATATAAAAAATACAAAAAAAAATGAATGAAGCATTCATAATGTAGCTAAGAAAACGAAAGAAAATGTCAGCTTCAACATGTTCCTCGGTACATTCATTGATATGATTGATAGAAACACAACAACATGTTGAAAACGAAAGGTACAAATAGGCATTACCTCACGCCAAAGGATGATCCTTAGGAAGAAAGCTACCAGTGGTTTTTCCATACACTTCACAGGTAGAAAAGTGAATGAGACGCTTGTTGTTCTCAGAACAGTATTTAACCTAACAAAACCAACACATTAAACCAATCAATTTCAACTAATAATGAAGCACAAAACAACGGACGAAGTAAGAAGAAAACACATACAACTGGACGCGCATCAATGAAATTGTTGTAGATTGTTTCAAGAGGAAGTGTATTGTAATCAGCTGGAGTACAGATCACAGCAAGATGTATAGTCTGCAAACTCCAAAAACAAACATCAGAATTACATCACCGATCTCAACACATCGCGAAATTAAGCAGATAATCAAAATGCAAATTATCTGAATTCCGATAACGAATCATCAGATCTGAGACTACAATCATCACAATCACACCATCATTGCTAATTTTTTAACCATAAACAACGAAGAACAAGAGATAAAGAAGCAAAATCGATAAGAAGAAGCATTTTACCAGATCCGCCATCTTAATAAGACCTTCAAGCCTTGAATCATGCTTAATATTGATACGATGAAACTGGATCCGACCACTCCATTCAACGGTATCAGGTTCAAGCAAGTGTTTGATCTTCTCGTTGTAAACATCAAGCGCAAGTACCTTTTGAGGCGTCTCCATCATCAATTTTTCACAGAGATGTGAACCGATGAAACCTCCGGCTCCGATCATGCATATTGTGATCGAGAGTCTACACCGTGTTCTCCGATTGAAACACTTCGACGATGATGATCGAGAGTCTACACCGTGTTCTTCGTTTCACAGCCATTGGAGATTAGAAGAGAAGAGCGTGAGAGAGAAATCGCAAATGAAGAGGAGAAAAATAATTAGAAAGTTGACACGTATGGACCTCTTGCAGACCAAAAAAACTCTAAACTAAGGTACGTTTCTTATCTTTATTTACATTTTTCATTTAATTTGGGCCTTTTTTTTAAGGATTCTGAGCTAAGATTCTCTCTAGACCCCTCCATTGGGCTTGCTCTTAGATCTTATATAATAAACACGAGCTGAGCATCCGAGTCTAGCTAGCTATCATTGTGATTTAATTCTTATATTAGAAAAATAATCAAAACCAAAAATCTTAAACTAAATAGTAAATACTAGAGATTTTGTCAAATCAAATCACAACGACAAAAGATAACAATAATAATAACAGTGAGTATACCTCGTCAAATAATCGCATCAAATCCTTCCTCCTCAGGGCTTTTTACCAATCCTCGGGAAACGATGCGGTTCTTAAAGGCGGAGGAGAGAGACAGAGAAAATCATCGGAAACTCAGACCAAGTTAAGTTACTTGCACCACTTTTTATCATTGCGTCTTCTTTTATACTCTTCTTTGTTTTTTTCTTTCTTGGGCTTTGATTTTCATTTGGACTTGGAGTCCATAACCTTTTCTCGAAAGTTGCCCATATATTCAGCCAAATCTTGCTGAATAATTTATATTATTTTTTCAACATAAATACAGCAAGTTTTTTTTAAATTGATGTCAAAAAAAAAAAAAATCTTTATACATTAGGGGAAATCTAAAAAATGAAAATGTTAAATTACAATGGTTCATGTGTAAAAAGAATGAGAGAAGCATTAATTTGACAGAGCAGAGAATAAACTTTGGAAATAATAAACAGAACCCATGGGTTTGGTGGATTTGAAGAGTAAATCATAAGATTTGGTATGGAGATCATGAATCACCAGTGGATCAAAGTAATCACGACTTTGAAGCAATAACTTATTTTTCTCCAGAATTGCTATTGGCGACAGCGGAAACTTGGGTTCGCCAAACCAAGAAAATGTTTTGGTGAGAGATCTATTGAACACATTTTCTTCCAAGTCTTGTGGCCTCCTGAAGAATCTAATGACCATATGACTTGGGCGGGCCAGTTTTTCTCGGAAACGCACAAGTGGTTATCAAGGATGCACATGGTGACGTTGCAAGGGTCACGTAGATGGGAAAAGGGAGCCTTAGAGATGACTTGAAAAGTTTCCTTGTGAAGATCAAAATATAATAACTTGGTTTCTTCACAATCGGTAAACCAATAAAGTGAACCATCTAAATACACGGGAGTGTGGTAAGCAAGAATCCGATAAGGAGAAGCTGGGAGAACGTACCTCCAAGCGTTAGTGCTAAAATCGAAAACTTCACAAGTGGTAACGTTGTCGAGGCCAAACTTGGATGAGTTATATAACCAAACCGGTTTGTATGTGCCCGTGAATTTGTCTTTACCGAATCCAAGCTCAGGATATGAGAAGCCAACAGTTAGTTCCTTTGTTATACTTGTCAATGAGGAGCTGTTGAATGTTGGAAAGAGGAAACCTTTGACTCCATCCAGTGGCGGGATTCACCACGACACTCGGTACTTCAAAACAGTAGATGCATAGTAGACCGTCACAACTACCATGGCAGATCATGCTGCCTGAAGCGGGGAACCTGACCGTACGAACTATGGACGACCCGAACTGCACAATTCTTCGAGCATCAGTATTCAGACCATCATCCCCAAAACAGGTGAGGTACACGAAAAGAACATCAGGACCTCGGGATTGCATACGACGGATCAACTGTCGTTCCTGGAAACACCGAGACGCAATAGTCGATTTCCACTTGTTGGATACAGACTTGAACCTCCGCAGAGACTCCACAGGAAGTCTCTCGAGGATGAGCTCTACAACATCGTCTGGTAGCAATTCCACAACACTGGACCGATGTCTTTTCAACATTGTCCAATTGATCAACAGACGACTGAGGCTTTTAAGATATATACACACACGAGCTGCGCAACCGACTCTAAGCAATAAAAAAAATGGGAAAACTTCCATTAAGGAAAAAAGTAAATTTCGAAACTTATTTCTTATTTTTATGAATAATTCAATCGAAAATCTCAACAAATATACACACATAATTGTAACTATACCATTCCCATTATTTGTCAATAGTATTATTTTAATTTCGTTTGAAGCCAAATACATTTGAACAGTATCTGGAATTGGTTTTGATTCATGGAGATTCTTGTTTGTTTTCATCATCAGAGCACATATCCTTGTGATCAATAGACTTAAGAGACACAGAATCCTCGTCACTCGTATCCGAAACAAAAATAGGTTGTTTTGGCTTTGGAAGATCCATTGTTGACGTCAGCATTGACACAACTTGTTTGATGTTTGGTCTGTCCATTGCTTGGTGTTGAACACAGAGCAAGCCTATCTGAACACATCTCATCACTGCTTCAATTGAATCTGAATCATCAATGTCTTGATCCAGTAGATCCACTCCTCCGGTTTCGCTCCATGATTCCCATGCCTGTTACAATGATCCAAAAAATATAAGAATTCATTTTGATTGGAATCAACTCTTTACGTGTGTTTCTCTTCTTACATATGCAACAAGGTTTTTTTCCTCTTTGCCATGGCTAAAGCTCGATATCTCTTTCCCGCTGATGATTTCCAGCATCAAAACCCCAAAGCTATAAATGTCAGATTTCTCAGAGTATGTCCCTGTCCACGCATATTCAGGAGACATGTATCCCCTGTTCGAAGGTGATTTTATAGAATGTGAGACTTTGATTCCAGCATGTGACAATAAGGAGAAGAAGAGGAGTGGTTCTTACAAAGTTCCAAATACTCTGCCAGTGTTGTCTTGATTTTGAGTTCCTTGAAACATCCTAGCCAACCCAAAATCTGATATTTTGGGATTCATCTTCTCGTCCAAGAGAATGTTGCTGGCCTTTAGATCGCGATGTACAACTCTGAGGAATGAGTCGCGATGGAGATAGAGAAGTCCACGAGCAATACCTTGAATGATATTGAATCTCTTAGGCCAATCAATCTCCAGCTTCTTCTTCAAATCTAGAGATTATCACAGATCTGAAACTGATCAGCATGTTAGCCATAGAAGGAAATTGGCAAAAGCAGAGGTAGATATGCAAAGTAAGGACTGACCGAAGAGAAAAGTGTCAAGGCTTTTGTTGACCATAAACTCATAAATCAATAGCTTCTCTTCTCCTTCAATACAATATCCTAAAAGCCGAACCAAGTTTCTGTGTTGTAGTTTTGAGATGAGTTTTAATTCGTTCATGAATTCCTCTGTGCCCTCTCCAGAGCTGTTAGAAAGACGTTTTATAGCTATTTCTTTCCCATCTTTTAGCTTTCCCTGTAAGCAGAAAGAGTTGCAGAGAGAGTCATAAAGAGAACAAGAAAGACAACAGCAGAAAAGAGCAAAAAAAGAGAGGGCATCATATATTATCTTTTACCTTATAAACTGTTCCAAATCCACCTTGACCGAGTTTATTTGACACGCTGAAATTATCAGTCGCTGCTTGTATGGTATGCATCTCAAAGAAATTTGAACCTGAGACATCTTGTGATTTCAAACCATTCTTCCAAGAATCTTCTGAAATATCCATGGCTACACGAGCTTCACCTACGAGTTAAATGGATCCACCCATGTGTTAGTACATAATTTTCTAGCATTTTAGGATCATGCCAGAGCTCAAAATTGATGGAGCTTCAAGCATGAAAGATCTGGTAGCTAAAAGGCCAATAAGATCAATAATGAATACACAACAAACGAGAAACATAGAGAGTGAGCTTTTAATCTTTTTTTTGGAGTCTCACCGTTTTGTTTCACTCTGTATCTCCAACACCCAAATGCAGCAAGCACCAAGATAAAAAACACACAAAGGCTAATAGCGCTAACAGCGATGATCTTGATTCGCTTGCCTCTAGCTGGGAGAACCACCAAGAAACTTAACTGTAAGTCATATTGTTATTGAACAAACCGTAAACAAAAATGTAAAAAGTAAAGTCTTTAAGCCCTACCTAACTCAGAACGTGCAAGACGGATGGAAAGAAACTCTCCTTCTTCACTAAACTGAACCGTGTCCAATAGCTCCTGGTTCCACACCAAGCATCCAATTTTATTAATATAGGCAAAGGCCAAGCAAGAACAGTTGCGGAGACATCCTTTATGGCATTGTTCTGCATCACCAAAGCTTGTTAATTCGTAAGAATCTGGAGGCTTAATATTGGCAACACGGTAAAATCCGTCTGTTGTGTCTTTGCCTTGTGTTGTTGACGCAGAATTTCCCTGACATGATGATAATTCTGTTCGTCTCACACACCCACGAGTCCAGTTTCCATTATTCCACTCATCATCTGACTTTGGCACAAACCCTCTCAAGCATTTGCAGGTTGGAGCACTAATGGACCTCATACACAAACCATAAGGTCCACATGTACCGTAGAGATCACATGAGCTTAGAGGACCTTCAAAATGCTTAATCCACCCGGTGGTGCCACCATTACTACGGTGAATATCCAATGATCCATCAGACGTTAGCTTGATGTAAGACACATCAAAATTTCTTAATGCACAAAAAGTCAAAATTCCTGTGCCATTCACCACATCTTGGACCATAGTTAATGGATTTACATATGTTTTATCCATTTCCGGTATCCCACTGAACCTTGTGTCCACCCATGGCCCGCTTCTCCAATAAGGTGATGACCCTTTCCATACAAGTCCTTGAGGGGGTACCTGTGGCGTAAGCTCTGCTACAAATTCACCAGGAGATGGATCTGTGTTAGTCTTCCAAGAAGTCAACACACGCCTGGTGTTGTTAAGAGTACTGTACATAAGCGATGAGAGAGGAAGCATAGTATCACCAGGATGCTCGAAACTTTCCCATAGATATTTCCCAGTAACATTATCTATGAGGACAAGATTTCCGGAGTTTAAAAGCTCAGCACGACATTCATTAAATGTAAGAACTTCTCTTCCAGATGACCACACAATGTCTTGTTTCTCATCAAGCAAGATAAGGCTCCCATTGCTGCTGATGGTGAGATTCGCCGTGAGGCTCGTTACCGATTTTTCTCTATTAGCTACCCAAACATACACTCGAGGAGTGACTCTCTTGAACCAGATTCCAACGTAGTGATGATTTTGAGAGCTGTTAGGACTGAAGAAACCTAGCTCAAAGGATTCATTAGGAGAGCTGAGAGTTTGTCTTATCGACAAAGGACTCGATGTGGTTATAGCTGCATAGCAATAACTTGAAAACAAGGTTAACAAAATCAAGCAAGGAAAGTAAAAAACACTCATCTTTCCTTTCTATGTGTCTGCAAGAGATCTTCGTTGAGAGATTCAATGTAATGAATAAAATAAAGTTTCTTCAGACGAATATGAAACCTAAAGATGTTCTGATATTCAAACAAGTTATCTTGACCAAGCAATCTTATTGGCATCTTTTTACATTCAAACATCCTAAATTGACTAAAGAAGACACACACGCTTATAATATTAAACCAAACATATCACATCACTTGACTTTCGCAATTTTCATAATCCTTGGTGCATGAATTCATCAAAAATCAAAAGATCTTATTGTCATTACACGGAATAAAGTACAATACTTTGAATATCTCAACTGAAAGAAACAAATATTCACAATTCCTGAACAAGGTCAACGGACAAACAATGCCACAAAATCGTTGCAATTCACCTAATTGCTACGAAATTATTTAGTTTATTTGCCGTTGAATGTCTGGCCGTAGCTAGTCATGATCATATAATCAGTTTAAATTCAATGATAAACAACGTAACCAGTTAACTACACGTCTACCAATCATATGAATACAACAACGCAGAGAATGTTTGACTGAATAGAAGATTGAACAAGATTTTCAGTTTGCTGTTTTTAATAGCCAATCAAGAGACTTTTTGTGTGTACCTGGTTTCTTGAATGACTAGTGTTTATTTGGTAAGTTGCAGAACCAAAACGAGGACATATATCGGACAAAGACTTGTCGCTCAGGCATTTCAACAAACACCTTCAGCGCGTTTCTTGTCCAGGAAAAATCAAAACCTTCCAAAGCCATTGCAATACCGTACAAAACTACAGAATCACAACAAGACACCGACTTTGATTTTGAGATCTGAGGTTCCATAAATTAGCTATGATCTGCTCTACTTTGATGCAAAGTTTAAGCAACTTTGAGCTCCGACGAGTGCAGACATACGACGAACCGAACCAAACCACATTCATTAAATCTGTAAGAGGACCAAATTCAGTGAACCTGATCAGTAAAGATGATTCCCAAATTTTGTGACTTGCCTAAACCGAACGAACCAGAATTTCTTACAAGTTGATATGTTTTAATTAACTTTTTAATAAATGTATACTAATAAATATTTAATTCAATGTACGATAAATAGATTTACATAAATCAAAATCAGTTATGTAATTTATTTTTAATAGAAAATAAATACAATTAGAGAAATCCATAAAAAAAAAAAAAAATCCGTAAATAGTTACGTTTTCTTATGTGTGTCTCTTCACCGTGACATTTTTTTTTTTTTTTTCTGTTTTTTTTTTTCCATTTTAAAATTTTATAATTTAAATATTTGATGATTATGATCCGTTTTTCTTTGTCTATAATAAAAGATAAGCATCTCTCTACTATGATTGTAGAATACAAAACTAACATATATTAAAACCCTTAATCCCAAGAACAATTTGCATACAAGCTAATTGTGATGAAAGCTAAACTAGATGTAAGCAAAGTAAAATTATTATTCATTTTTACACCTATCAACAACATTAATTATATGGGGATGTATATAGATTATATGTGTACACAACATATTATGACAATCGATTTTTGTACAAAGCGATGTTGTTCCATAGTCTATGTTTGGCTCTTTTGTCTGTATATGTTGTAACAAAAAATCATCTCTTAATACAATACCAATTGAAAAAATAAATAATAATAATAATTCATATACAGATGATTGTTTGGTATTATATTAAATTTTGATACAATTAAATCTCTAACACGCATAATCTTCATTTTCTGGTCTAACGATGCATCTGATTTAGGGTTATGATATATATTCTTCGTGTTAAGGATTTAATTTGTATCAAAATTCTTCAACTTTGTATCTTTGATTTAGAATTCAGTATCTAGTAATAGAGTTATCTTATCTGATTTACTGTATTGACCATTGGGAATGACTTACCATCTTTAACTGCTTTATTTGCAATGGTTTCACTCATTCGTGAATTCAAATTTGGAAACTATGAAATCTTGAAGAACATCACAATTGATTGAGAGAGAACCTTCTTACTGAGTGGATGCTTCAAATGTGGATGTGTATGAATGATATGCGCTTACAACATATTATGACAATCGATTTTCGTACAAATTATGTCTATTGTTTATAAATTTTCACTTACTTTTTATTAGAATTTAATTTGTCTCTCGGAATCACATCTTTCTCTCGTATGTAGATCCAAAATCTTCTTGTTTAGTATTCCATAATGGGATCTAATTAGAATTCTAATTTATTTCTTCGATCAAATTGGGATCGTGTAGCCTATTTTGTCCGTTGCACGCAATGTCTTTGACTTAACTTTGAATTGACTATCTTTGTCAATGGTACTGACATCGCGTGCCTAGAGGATGTTGCCCTTGATAGTTTCTGACTTTCTGTAGAACTACTGGTGCTTCCATCCTAGTGTCAAATATGGTATTAGATGCCTACATGGTTAAGGTACCTTTTTATTTCTATATTTGTTGTAGTAATCGATGTTCTGTTGTTATTTACCTTTTATCTCTAATTTTTCTTTGGTTGGTTTATATAAGGACAATTAAGTAAAAACAAGAGAAATCATATTATTGATTTTTTTTAAAATGTAAAATCTCATATAATTTTTTAAACGGCTTGAACATCACTTCATATATAAATGTATAGTGTACTGTATATATAATCTTTAGTTGATAAGATGTTACAAGAAAATGCCATTAAATGATTTTCAATTATAAAGTATTTTACTCATTATTAAATAATTCCTTCCAGAAAACAAAGTAATTTTAGTATCGCCAAATAAGACCGGAGGGGATTACTTATGGTTCTCATTACTAATTTGCGTCAAGGGATTACTTATGGTTCTCATTACTAATTTGGTCTGATTTTCATTTAACATAATTGACTCGATTTTTGAAACACTATTATATTTAGATGATAATAAATGGTTTGTTTAAAACAAAAAGCAAACACAATCTTTAAAATGAACAACACAACTCCAAAACCGATATTCACTATACTTTTTTTTTTTTATTATATTGTTAAATAATTGGGAAAAAACCCGAAAAAACCGCTGTCTATTTTTTTTTACCGTTTAATACATGTAGTTTTAAATTTGGAATAAAAATACCTCGTTTAGTTGTTATTATCTTTTAAATTCTTTATTTTTTAAATAACTGCAGTTAGACCTAACCCATGATGTTTACATGTATATATATACATCCTCTTTTCGAAGATATACGAATATTGACTTAGGCGAAGTGGTAAAATTGTATTGATTATCATCGTGAGCAAGTGTACGAATCCCACCTCCATCTCCAAGTAGACTATTTTTTTTTTAAAAAAATTTTTACTTCGTCTGCTACCATGAAAAAACAAGTTCTTGATTCCAACAAACAAGTTCTTCGTCTCCGTTCCCAGCCGCTCGTTCCGCCTCTCCTCCACAGTGTCTTCGAAGTGGGCATGGGCCAAGAATCCCTTAGTGGGCTTTAACCCCATCGCCAGTCTCTCCATCATTTTAAAGGCCATGGCTTTCACGGGTTTCATAGGTATGTCGACTAGATTGGGTTTATTTTTCCGCGTGACCGTAAAGCTGAGCCATTGTGCATCGATTTTACCCGTCATTGCTCCTCTTGGATCTACTGATGATCCCTTTCCCGTATTCTTGCGGATAGTTACTGCTGCGTGCAGTCCATGGAAATTGGTTTATTTCCAGATTTTTGGTTATCCTTTTGATACAAGTGGTTCCGATTCACTTGTCCTGACACCTGTTTTACACGATATCTCTCCTCCCTCAGTTCTGAGAGCATCCATTACTCTTTCCCTAGCCCAGAATCGACTATGGTTCCATACTTGTGTAACGTACAGTATGGCTTCGATTCTGGTTTGCCCTCCTCCCATTCAAAATTTCGCAAGCGTGCGATCTATTACTGCAATATGCAGTTTCTTTGTATTCATTATGGCTTTTGGTGCTGTGATTTTGGTTTCTCTTTCTTGGTGGCAGGTTGAAAGGCCTCCCCCGATGAATCTGGATATGTTGGGTATTTGGTGCCCTGGTAGCTCTTTAACAGAGCAGTTTCTCTTCCCAAAATTCCCTCCAATGTGGAGTGGTTTGGATGTCGAAGCGTTGTCGGTATTGCAAGGATCCTCCTCCCGGCTGAAGCTTTTATCTGCCTTTGATGCAGATTATGTAATCTCTCGGGTTACGACGGATGCAGTCTTTCAAGAATCTATGGAGATCGTTCTTGTTGTTCGATTTCCTTTGTGTTATTCTTATGATTTGTATCGCCTATCCATCTATCTTTTAACCATTGTTATATGGTATGTTTGGCTTCTTTTACTATGCTTGTTTACAGTTTTCTTTCTGTTGGTTGTAATTCCTCCTTGTAAGGTTTCTTAAGTTTTAATGAAAACAATCGGTTTGTCCAAAAAAAAAACAATGTGGAATAGTGGAAAAATATATTAACATGCATAGACAAATTAAATCGTTTGTTGCGTCTTGTATAATATCGTACGCGTGTAAATAGCCGATTGTTCTTTAGCTTGTGTATTACTAAGAGTATTGGCAACAATAATTGAGACAGTGCCGTGCTTAGACGTTTTGTGGCCTAGGACACATTTTTTTAAAAAGGGTTTTGTGCAAAAAAACCCTCGAAGTAGCCAATTTTTGCAAGAAAACCCTCCATTTCAAATAACTGCAAGTCAATACCACCATCTCAAAAGTCACCCGCAATATAGCCCTCGCGTGTATCGATGACGTGGCAGCCGTTAACTCCGTTCCAAAACGTCACGACAAGTGAACTTTTGTGCAAAAAAACCCTCAAAGTAGTCAAGTTTTGCAAGAAAACCCTCAAAGTAGCCAAATTTTGTGCAAAAAAACCCTCAAAGTAGCCAAGGTTTGTTTTAAAAAAGCGACTGTTGGAGAATTCGATTGTACAGGGAAGCAAAGGAAACAATATGGTAATAATCGATTTTGATATCTTCTTAAATGTATGATCATTGGCATGATCAAAGTAAGACATGGTGGAGCCATTTATACGAGAAGGAAAAATCTAGGGTTTAACAGAAGAATTCTGTAAAATTTATATAAGTTTTCTGTAAAACCAGAAAATCTTCTGTAAAAGCCCAAATTCGTCGCAAAAGAGACAAAATATTTTGTAAGGCTCAGAGCCTCGAAAAACGTGCAAGCCACGAAATCAACTTCTGTAAGACTCAGAGCTTCGAAAAACGTGCAAGCCACGAAATCAACTTCTATAAGACTCAGAGCCTCGAAAAACGTGCCCGGCACGGAATCACCTTCTGTAAGGCTCAGAGCCTCGACAAAACATATATTACTTCTCTAAAAATCATAGCTAACTCTTGCGTATATTTCGTATTCTCGTTCACTCGAATTCCATCTCTGTAATCACAGAAGCACGATTATCGTTAATCAGAGAAATATCTCCGTTCGCTCCCAAAAACTCGTACTTATTTATTATTGCAACTTCGGTACGAACAATAGGGTGGATAGATTTACATACAACAATTTTTATTTTTGGGTATTATAGGTAAACCCGAACCCGTACCCAAATTTTAAAATACCCGAAAGGTTTTTTTGCAAAAATTGGTTTAATGAAGGGTTTTTTTTGCAATTTGGCTACTTCGAGGGTTTTTTGGCACAAAACCCACTGACGGAGTTAACGGCTGCCACGTCATCGATACACACGAGGGCTATATTGCGGGTGACTTTTGAGATGGCGTTATTGACTTGAATTTATTTGAGATGGAGGGTTTTCTTGCAAAAATTGGCTACTTCGAGGGTTATTTTGCACAAAACCCTTTTAAAAAAGGTCTATGGTAATATTTTTTTTAAAAAAAATCATAATATTGAATCGAAACAAAGTATTAGTAACAAAAACTGATAATGTAAAAAAAATCAAAATAAGTTATTTTCTTTGTTTTCATGTTTTTCTAGAAATATTCTTTGTTTTTCTAATAATATTGTTTGTTTTTAATATATATTTTTATTTATTATTATATATTACTAAAGATTGTGTTTTCGATAAGAAAATCTCTTCTAACTAAGTAAAGGCATAGTTAAAACTATAATTTCCATTAAAAGAATTTTATTAAACAACATATTTTTTATCAAACTAACTACATAAATATACTACTTTGTTACAAAAATGTGGCCTATACTATAATTTTTTTTTGTGTGGCTTTGGGCATTTGCCCTTTTTGCCAATGGGTTGTCACGGCTCTGAATTGAGAAGGTGATACAGAAGGGAGACTTTACCGACCATGTATCGCAGTTTGTGTTAAATTATTCACAAACTCAGACACCATCTTTTAATTGGTTATTCAATGCAAATACTGGTGGTTTTGGTCTTAGAAGATCAGTTAAAGTAGAGATCATGGACACGACTTTTGCAAGTTTGTTTGAGACATTGAAGTTATTGGTAGCAGCTCGTATGGTATACATCTCAAAGAATGTTAAACCTGAGATTTCTTGTGGTTCCAAACCGTTTTTCCATGAATCTTGTGAATTGTTGAAGAACACCCAAGTTGGCCCAACAGGTCACAAATATATAATTTGAAGAAGTATAACAAGCTAAAGCTCAAATAGACAAGCTTCATGTAGTTGTATATATGCAATACAGAAATTTCTATAAGCTAAACGAAAAGAGAAACCATAATATATATCTATGAGGTGATGCAGGTTTAAGTGTAGATTTGATCACGAGATAGATAACAACAACAAAGCACAAGACAAGAAAGAGCACTACTATGTTATCCGGTGTCTCACCCTTTTGTTTTGCTCTGTATCTCCAGTACTTATATGAGGCAAAGGCCAAAATCACAAAAATGGAAAGGCTGATACTACCAGCAAAATAATCTTGGTTCTCCTGTTTCCAGCTGAGAGATTTACCACAAAACAAAATTATACCAAGTAAAAACCATGCTGCAGTTTAAATGAACACATAAACAAAGTTAACGAGTAATTGCAACAAAAATGATGTGTCTTTATGGGAAAATGTCTTTCAGCCCTACCCAGTTCTGAACTTGCAAGACGAATGGACAGAAACTCTCCTCCAATGGAATATCTAACTGTGTCTATTAGCTCCTGATTCCAAAGCAAACAACCAATTCCAGTAATATACGCAAAGGCAGTGCACGAGCAATTGCTGAGACAACCCTGGTGGCATTGATCTGCATCCACAAAGCTTGCATATTCGTAGAGATCTGGAGGCTTTACATTGGCCAGACGATACAAGACGTCTACGCCTTTTCCTTGTGCCTTTGTAGACACTACTTATGTTTGGTCTGTCTATAGCTGCCTTGCTGTCACGAGCTAGAATTATCTTGTTCCAAATAGAACTCTTACTCTCTGCATATTATTGGTATCTTACTTTAGCACAAACAGTAGATATAATTGCTAAAAATCTAACAAGGCTGAATTCATCAGGAAGCCAAAAACAAACCGGAGGAGAAGAAAATCATCGTTCAATAGAAAAACTAAAGAAATGTTAAATTACAAAGGTTCATTGGTACAGAGAAAAGAAGACAAATTAGTTGGATAGAGCAGAGAATAAGCTTTGGTAATAATAAACACAATTCCCCGCTGTGGTAGGTGTGAAAAGTGAATCATAAGATTTGGTATGGAGATCATGTATCACGAGTGGTTGGTGTTGACGACCATGAAGCAATAACTTATTCTTCTCAAGAATTGCAATTGGTAAGAGTGCGGATCCCGATTCGCCGAACCAAGAAACAGTTTTGGTGAGATCTATTGAACACATTTTCTTCCATGTCTGGTTGCCGCCGCCAGAAGAATCGAACGACCATATCACTTGGGTTGGCCAGTTTTTCTCGGATACGCACACGCGGTCATCAAGGACGCACATGGTGACGCTGTAAGGGTCACGTACATGGGCAAAGGGAGCTTTACAGAGGACTTGAAAAGTTTCGGTGTGAAGATCGAAAGATAAAACCTTGGTTTCTTCGCACTCGGTGAACCAGTAAAGCGATCCATCTAGATACACGGGCTTCTGGTAAGAAAGAATCCGATAGGAGCAAGCAGGGAAAACGTACCGCCAAGCATTGGTGTTAAAATCAAAAACTTCACAAGTAGTAACGTTGTCTAGGCCAAAGTCAGATGAATTATATAACCAGACAGGCTTATACGTGCCACTAAATTTGTCTTTACCGAATCCAAGCTTAGGACTTGAGAGGCCAAACTCTCCTTTGTTACAGTACCTCTCAACAATGAGCTGTTGAATGCTGGAAAGAGGAAAACTTTGACGCCATCGAGTGGCGGGATTGATCAGGAAACTCGGTGTGTAGACACAGTAGAGACATAGTAGACCGTCACAACTACCATGGCAGATCATGCTGCCCAAATTAGGGAACCTGACCGTACAAATTATTGACGACCCATACACAATTCTCCTAGATGGAGCCTCTAAGTCAGATTAAGGGTACACGAAAAGGACATCTGAACCTCGGGATTGCCTACGACGGATAAACTGTCGTTCCTTGAAACACGGAGACTCAATAGTGGATTTCCACTTGTTGCATACAGATTTGAACCTCAGCAGAAATTTCACAGGAAGCCTCTGGAGAATGAGCTCTACAACATCGTGTGGTAGCTGTTCCAGACTGTTGGAGCGCTGTCTTTTCAAAACCAAACTGGAGCCATGTCTTTGCGATCCAACAACACTCGAGCGATCTCTTTCCAACATTGTCTTGTGTTGTGTCTCTCTAATCGATCAACAGACGAATTGAGGCTACAAATATATACACAAACACGAGCTGAGCTAGGAAATCGATAAAAAGGAAAACTTCAAACTTTCCATTAATTGTGATTTTAATTGTTATCTGATTAAAAATAAAAACCAAAAATGTCAAAATGGGGCATTAAGTGTAGATTTGCCAAAAAGCTGAGATCAACAAGAAGCCAAAGAAAAACCTAGAAGAAGAAAAAACCACCCTTCACTAAAAATGCAGAAAACGTTAAATTACAAAAGGTTCATTGGTAGAAAGAAAATAATGACAAATTTATTTGATAAAGCAGAGAATAAGCTTTGGTAATAATAAACAGCATATCCGGTTTTAGGGTCGAAGAGTAAATCATAAGATTTGGTATGGAGATCATATATCACCCGATGTTCCAAGCTATTTCGACCTTGAAGCAATAGCTTAGTCTCGTCCAGGATTGCTATTGGAGACAGTGGGAAGCTGAAAGACATAAACCAATCGATATTTACTGTGAGATTTATCGAACACAATTTCTTCCATGTCTTGTTGCCGCCTGAAGAATCCAACGACCATATCAGTTGGGCGGAACCGTTTATCTCAGAAACGCACAAGCGATTATCAAGGATGCACATGGTGTCGCCGACAGGGTCACGTTCACAGAGGAAGGGAGCTTTACATATGACTTGAAAAGTTTCAGTGTGAAGATCAAAAGATAATATCTTGCATTCTTTACCCTCGGTGAGCCAATGAAGTGATCCATCAAAATACACGGGATCTTGGTAATCATTTATCCGATAAGGAGAAGCAGGATGAACGTACCTCCAAGCATTGGTACTAAAATCGAAAACTTCACAAGTGGTAACGTTGTCGAGGCCAAACTCGGATGAATTATATAACCAAACCTGCTTAAACGTGCCCTTGAGTTTGTCTTTACCAAATCCAAGCTTAGGATCTGGGAAGTCACACTCTTGTTTATCATATTTGTCGATGAGGAACTGTTGCAAGTTGGAAAGAGGACAACTTCGATGCCATTTAGTGGCGGGATTCACCACGATATTCGGCGAGTAAAAGCAGTAGATGCATACCAGACCGTCACAACTACCATAGCAGAGCAAGGTGTTCCAAGTAGGGAATCTGAACGTAGAAACTATGGACGAACCAAACACAATTCTCCTCTCCGTCGTAGCTTCATCATCACCATTATTATCATCAGCAAAGGACACTACAAGAACATCAGGACCTCGGGATTGCATACGACGGATCAACTGTCGTTCCTGGAATCACCGGGACTCGATTGTGGATTTCCACTGGTTGGATACAGACTTGAACCTCAGCAGAGATTCCACAGGAAGTCTCTCGAGGATGAGCCCAACAACATCGTGTGGTAGCAGCAATTTCACCACACTAGAGCGATGTCTTTTCAAAACCAAACTAGAGCCATGTCTTTTCGATTCAACAACACTCGAGCGATCTCTTTTCAACATTGTCTTGTGGCTTTCTAATTGACCAACAGAAGAATTAAGGCTACAAATATATATATACACAAACACGAGCTGGGCTAGGAAATCGAAAAATAAAGGAATACTTGAAACTTCCATTTAACGAAATGGTAATTACAATTATCTAAATATCTCTATCATAGTGATTTTAATGATTATCTTATAAATAATAAAAAACCAAAAAAATCTCAAACAAAATATTACGGATTTCGTCAAATCAAAACACAATCACAGAAGATAATTATAAATAAATAATTACAGTGTGAAGTACCTCACGAAAGGATCGAATCAAAACTGTTTTTTGGGCGTTTATTTTCATTTGGGCCTTTGAACCCACAATCCTTTTTCTTTGTCACATTTATAAAAGAAATCTTCCCAATTATAACCTTAGCGTTTTATTAAACTGTAACTCTGTAAGTGAATTAGATTTGATGTACATTTGTTTTTAAAATTAGCTACAATAGCTAGATTGGCAGCACCTTGTATTGATTATTTACGAATTTAAACTGAAGCAACAGAAACCACAATTTTACAAACCGAATCAAAATAAAGTTCGGTTTTAATGAGGACCGCTTTTCTGATTCATGAGAAAGAAAAAAACCAGTCATCTATAGTTTAAAATTAAGTGTCACACTCCATTGATACACAGGGGAAAGTTTATCGCCCATATATTTCAGTCTGTGTAATATGATTCACAGACTTTGAGACTGAGACAGCACTCTCTTCATCTTGAATCTGCAACGCAAACACTGGTTTTTTTGGTCTCGGAAGATCTGTTGCACTTGTCATCATGGTCACTACTTGTGCTATGTTTGGTCTGTCAATAGCTTGCTGTTGGATGCAGAGTAGTCCAATCTGAACACATCGAGCGACTTCAACTGGTGAACACGAGCTGCTTATATCTTGATCCAATAGATCCACTCCACCGGTCTTGAGCCAACATTCCCATGCCTGATATACAGTTTAAAAGTTGACAGCATTCTAAGAATTTGCGATTTGAAACACCAGGAGGATGTCTTACATATTCAAGAAGGGTTTTGCCTTCCTCTCCACAGCTAAAGCTTGAAATTTTCTTCCCGCTTATGATTTCTAGTTGCAAAACTCCGAAAGCATAGATGTCGGACTTCTCTGAGAACATCCCTGTCCATGCATACTCAGGAGACATGTATCCTCTGTTCATATCCCAAAAAGTCTGCTAAGGTGACATAATTAATACTTTGATTTAGCATGTCATTGGGATAGATACTTACAGAGTTCCAACAACTTTACGAGTGTTGTCTTGATGTTGGGTTCCTTGAAACATCCGAGCCAGTCCGAAATCTGATATCTTTGGGTTCATGTTTTCGTCCAAGAGAATGTTGCTGACTTTCAGATCTCGGTGTATGACCCTCAGGCATGAGTCACGATGGAGATAGAGAAGCCCACGCGCAACACCTTGAATGATGTTGAACCTCTTAGGCCAATCAATCTGAAGCTTTAGCGTCAAATCTAGCCAATAACATAAACTATATTAATGAGCATGAAAGATCAGTTCTCATACGATGAAAGGAAAAGGAAAAATGTAAAGGCAAAAAATGGAGGACAAGGAGCATACCAAAGAGAAAAGAGTCGAGGCTTTTGTTCACCAGAAACTCATAAATTAGTAGCTTTTCTTCTCCATCAATGCAGTATCCCAAAAGTCGAACTAAGTTTCTGTGTTGCAGTTTCGAGATGAGTTTTATTTCATTCATGAACTCTTCTGTACCCTGTCCAGAGCTACTAGAAAGGCGTTTAACGGCGATTTCCTTCTTGTCTGACAGTTTTCCCTAGAAGCAAAGTTGCAAACAGTCATCCTCAGAACAAAGAATGACAGAGACATGAGAAGAGCAAAGAAAACCAATTCTCACTTACCCTATAAACTGGACCAAATCCGCCTTGACCGAGTTTGTTTGAGACATTGAAGTTATTGGTAGCAGCTCGTATGGTATTCATCTCAAAGAATGTTAAACCTGAAATTTCTTGTGGTTCCAAACCATTTTTCCATGAATCTTGTGAATTGTTGAAGAACACCCAAGTTGGCCCAAAAGGTCACAAATGTCTGTGAGTTAGTATATAATTTGAAGAAGTATAACAAGCTAAAGCTCTAATAGACAAGCTTCATGTAAATGTATATAAGCAATACAAAAACTTCTATAAGCTAAACAAAAAGAGCAACCATAATCTCTAAGAGCAGATGCAGGTTTAAGTGTAGATTTGATCACGAGATACAGATAACAACAAAGCACAAGAAAAGAAAGAGCGTTACTATGTTATCCGGTGTCTCACCATTTTGTTTTTCTCTGTATCTCCAGTACTTATATGAGGCAAAGGCCAAAATCACAAAAATGGAAAGGCTGATACTACCAGCAATAATCTTGGTTCTCCTGCTTCCAGCTGAGAGGTTTACCACAAAACAAAATTGTAACAAGGAAAAACCACACTGCTGTTGAAATGAACACTATAAACGAAGTTAAGGAGTAATTGCAACAAAAATGATGTGTCTTTATGGGAAAATGTCTTTCAGCCCTACCCAGTTCTGAACTTGCAAGACGAATGGACAGAAACTCTCCTCCAATGGAATATCTAACTGTGTCTATTAGCTCCTGATTCCAAAGCAAACAACCAATTCCAGTAATATACGCAAAGGCAGTGCACGAGCAATTGCTGAGACAACCCTGGTGGCATTGATCTGCATCCACAAAGCTTGCATATTCGTAGAGATCTGGAGGCTTTACATTGGCCAGACGATAGAAGACGTCTACACCTTTTCCTTGTGTCTTTGTAGATAAGTTTGCCTGACAAGATAATTCTGTACGTCTCATACATCCAGAAGTCATGTTCCCGCGCTTCCACTCCTCCTTGTATTTTGGTACAAACCCTTTCATGCATTTACATTTTGTGGGCATGGACGTCTCACACAACCCAAAAGGTCCACATGCACCATACAGATCACATGAATTCGCTGGAGTCACAAAGTCCAAAACCCAGCCTGTCCCATTGTACCGAAAAGTCTTTAGATATCCCTCTGATGTTATGATAACTCGTGTAAATTCAGAATTTCTCTGTAAATAAGAGAAGCGCCCTGTTCCATTTCCTACATCTTGGGAAAGGCTGAATGGACTTGTGTATGATTCATCCATTAGTGGTACGCCAGTGAACCCAGTCTTAGCCCATGGACCGCTTCTCTTATAAACTGCCGAGTCTCTCATAGTAACGATCTGTGCTGGCACTTGTGGCGTTAGCTGAACTACAAAATCACCAGGGGATGGATCAGTGTGGCTTTTCCACGAAGACAATACTCGCTTCTCCCCAGTGGCAAGGTTGTACATCAGCGAAGAGTAAGGCAGCATAGTATCACCAGGATTCTCGAAACTTTGCCACAAAAGATTTCCTGAAGCATCATCGATGATGACAAGATTTCCGGTATCTAAGAGCTTTGCATGACAATTGTTAGATGTGGAAAGTTTTCTGGTTGACCAAACAACATTTTTACTACTGTCCAGCAAAATAAGACTCCCATTTCTGCTGATAGTAAGATTTGCCACGGGGTTTGTGATCGGCTTTTCTCTGTTAGCCACCCACACAACCACCCGTGGTGTAATTTTCTTGAACCAGATCCCGACATACTGATTCTGAGAGTTGCTAGGACTGAAGAATCCTAACTCATAAAAGCCACCAGGGGAACTCAGAGTTTGTCTCGATGTCAAAGGACTTGAAATAGTTATATCTCCATAGCCACAGCTTAAGAATAAACTTAACCAGAGAAAGCAAGGAAAGAAAACAATACCAATCTCTCCCAAGTGTATTCCCATGTGTCCAAAAGAGTTCTCCAATTCAGATCTGAATGTATGAACAAAATCTTATTTTGACTAACTGAAAGCGCTGAGACCAATGACTCCTCTAACATGTATCCTATAATATTATCTCAAATTTACCTAGTTTGACCTAAATCTTAGGAAAAATAACTAGTGTGACTTTTGTTATTTAGAAATTAAAAAAAAAAAATAATGGAGAAGAAGAGTCAAGAGAATATGCATCAACTAACCATGAATATGAAAAGAATTGAGAAACTAACCATGATGTCTGAAGACATACTCTCTCCTCAATTACAATTACTTTTATACCCATTTATTTATTACATGTTATTTTTAAAAATCTCACAAACACTCACATGATTATGTGATGAAGAACTTCCAACGATTAACGACTACGACACCGCATTCTTCTCCTTCTCGAGACGGAAGAACGACGACCACAATAAAATCATTGTTACTAATTTAATCTACCATTATCATCATCACCCACCACATTCTTCTCCTTTTCGCGACGGAAGAACGACGACTACAACAAAATCATTGTTACTATTTGTGAGTACGACACCACCATCACCACTCGCGACGAACACCACCACCGCTTCTTCCAAAACCATCATCACCTCCGCCATAACCACCTTCCTCACGGCTACCACTACCACTGTATACATCTGATCTGTCAAAGATCACTCATTTTCTATATTTTGGTCATGGTTGTTGCGAGAATGAATAAATTTTGTAAAATTTCACGTTATTTTTTAATATTAATCGATATTTTTTTTGTTTGACACGCTATTATAATATATATCATGTTACTAATTTGTTTCGCACGGTTCCTTTTCAAATTAAATGATATTTATTTATATATCATGCTATTTTTGCAAAATGTACATTATAAAATGTCACTTTTTTGATAAATATCGTGTTATTTTAATATGTTTCACGCGATTTGTTGAAATTTTTCAAATCTATGACTTTTTCTTCGCATAAACTTGCTCATGGTTCAACTTTTCAAATGAAATGATATTGGTTCATATAACATGCTATTTTGAATAACTATACGTTATAAAATGTCATTGTTTTTATAAATATCATGCTATTTTAACACGTTTCATGCGATTTGTTGAAATTTCTCAAAATCTATTACTCTTTTCTCCGCATAAGCTTGCTCATGGTTCAACTTGCAAGGACATTTTTGTTTTTTAATATGCCGTCATATGGTTAGTTACCTATAAAAAAACTGACAATGGTTAGTTTCTTAATTTTGACTCAAAATTTGGTTACTTTGTAATATTACCCAAATTGGTTTCGTCGAGAAGCTACTGTGACTTTTGTTATTTAGATTGCTAATTAATTAGGTGGAGTTGAAACGACGTGTATTGCAAAAGAGGTAACAAAGTGGGCTTTAACATATGTTTTACAAACTTAAGGCCCAACATCTATATATATCTTAAGCCCAATCACTCTTATACCCGGATCCAGATATCCGTTACTGAATTTTCTTGTTATCCGGATCCGAAATTTTACTATCCAGATCCGGATCCGGACGACCCGGATATCCGGACGACCCGGATATCCGGTTTTTCGGATCGGAGCGGAGCGGATCCCGGACAATAAGTCTCAGGGCTAACTCCCTGTCTATGTCCAACAGAAGCCTTTGTCTGATACAGAGCCGGTCCGGAGGGCAAGCAAGTGAAGCCATCGCTTAGGGTCTCACATTATAAAATATTTTTTTTGGGAGAATTTTTTTTTTTTACATTAACAAAAAGGCCTAAATTTTTAGTTATGCGTAGGGTATCAAAGAAAATTTTGAAACTTTGGACCGGCCCTGGTCTGATAGTACATAAAATATTCAATGATTTGAGTTTTTCTATGTTTGTACATTGTACTCTCTGTAGCATATAATCTATCTACCAGAAAGAAAACTTTTTCCGCTACCAATTCCACAACAATGAAAGAAAGGGAAAAAAGGGATGCAAAAATGAATGTATTTTTACCTGGACGCTTCCAAACGAGACTTTCCTCTCATATCATCATTAGTGATCAGCTTAAACCTCTACGAAGGCCTCTACTTCAGACTAGGTCTTGTTTTCCCTCAGATTAGTTTTCTCTCCCGGATAAATACATGTCATCAATGTTTTGGGTGGGGGGTCATCTCACCAGTAATCTCCGCACGAACAGGCACCGTTCTTGAAATGGTGAAACCGTTGCATGTCTCGTACTATAATTTCCCGTCCGGTCACAAGGGAAATGTACTTTGTAGCATTGTGACAGTCAGCACAAACTCGCAGGTTCTTTCTTACATGAATAGTTGTACCCGCAGTTGTATTGAGGAGTCCAAAAGATATTGCCAGCTTCTCACTGTGGCTACTCAGTAACTGCTCTTTAACATCATCTTCTAGGCCGAGGATTAAATTTGTGTCAGGAACATAACCAGCTTCTTTGATTTGGCATATCAGCTTCTCAAGAAAAGCATAAATCTTCTTAGAACTGGGATGGGCTGTGCTTCCAGAGAAGAAGCTATGAACTTCGTTCTTTATCTCCACCATACTGCAGCCAGGAGTTTTGCGCAGACCCTGTCTCAACATTGAAACTCTAACTTGTCCCACTTTTTCCCACATTGAAGCTGCACGATAAATGTTTGCAAGAAGCACATGATACCCACCATCTTCCGGGTTCAACTCAAACAATCTCTCTGCTACTTTCTCAGCGAAATTCACATTTTTATGAATCTGGCAAGCACCTAACATGGCACCATATACATTTACAGCCGGCTTAACGGGCATCTGCATAATAAAGTCCCATGCTTCATTCAACCGCCCAGCCCGACCTAGAAGATCGACCATTGCTCCATAGTGGTCCATCGATGGTTCTATGCTGTAGTTTTCCTTCATCATATGGAAGCACTTGAGTCCTGCCTCCACCAAACCCGAGTGGCTGCAAGCAGAGATTACAGAAAGAAATGTGACACCATTTGGTCTGATGGTGCCTTTTTGCATTTCTTCAAACAACTCCAGAGCAGCTTTCCCAATTCCATGCGTCCCGTATCCATCAATCATAGCATTCCAGGTTGTCACATGACGCTCGCTCATCATATCAAAAATCAATCTTGCAATCATGATAGCACCACATTTCGCATACATGTCGACTAGAGCCGTTGTGACAAACACATTCTTATCCAGACAATTTCGCATAACCACCCCATGAATCCACTTCGCATGATGTGTAATTGACAGCTCTGCGATAGCAGTTATCACACTCACGTAAGTAAACGTGTCTGGTTTCACTGTCCGAGCCTGCATCTGGCTGAAGTAATTCAAAGCTTCGATCGGACGTCCATTCTGTGCAAATCCTAATATCATTGCATTCCAAGAGACAATGGTTCTGCTCTGCAATTTCCCAAACATAGAAGCAGCAGTATCAACTTCCTTGCACTTGCAATACATGGATATCAAAGAGTTCACTACAGAAACATTTCTATCAAGTTCCAACTCAACCGATAACTTATGGATGAATCTTCCTCTCTCAAGGTCCCCTAGGTCAGCACAAGCATGCAAAGCACCCATGACAGATACATCAGTGGGTTTCACTCCTTCGTCCAACATCTTCTGAAAAATTACCATTGCCTCTTTAGGATTCTCATTCTGCACATACGCATCAATCATTGAATTCCATGAAACAACATTCCTTTCTAACATCCCATCAAAGAGCAGTCGAGCAGTTTTCAGAGATCCACATTTCGCATACATATCAACCAAAGCAGTGGCAATATTGACAAGAGAATCAAATCCAGCCCGCATAGCATACCCATGAATCTCCTTGCCAATACGAATCAACCTCAGAGCAGAGACAGCAGGCAAAACAGAGACAATGGTGATAAAACTAGGCTTCAGATTCTCCTCACACATTAAATTAACCATTTCCAAAGCCATCCTCGCCATCCCATTCTGTGAATATCCAGCCACAATTGTATTCCACGAAACCAAATCTCTCTCAGGCATTCTATCAAACACCTTGCGGGCCTCATGTACCTGCCTACACTTGGCATACATATTCTCAAGTCCAGTCATGGCAAACAAATCCAACGAGAACCCACTCTTCACCAACAACCCATGAATTTCCTTTCCCACCCTAAGCTCTGCTTCGTCTCCGCAAACTTTCAGGAGATAAGTGAAGTTATACACAACAGGCTCTACCTCATCATCCCTCATCCGAACGAAAAATTTCAAAGCTTTATCCAAGTCTGAAACTTTGGCAAACCCTTTAAGCATCGTGTAATAAAGAACATTGAGTTTCTTATCAATGGGTTCAAAAACACGAGCAGCCTCGTCGACACTGCCATAGCGACAAAACAAGCTGACAAGCTTCGTCTGAAAAAGATGCTCCTGATAAAGACCATTCTTGAAGATGAGAGGCAGAATGTGACGAAGCTCTTTCAGAGAAGAACATCTCTCAAGAAGAAGAGCCGCTGGATGCTCGTAGACATTAGCCGGAATATAATTTCTCTGGGAGAGAAAGTGACGATGGCTCGACGAAATTGGCGGGATTTGAGACACTGTGGAGACATGCACCAATTGAGAGCTCATGGTTTTGTTCTGCAAAATCAATCCTTTACCAACAATTCCTTCTCTTACAGGTCCAACAACTTCTCTCGATTTAATATACTTTATCTTCAGTGTCTGGTTTTCATTGAATTGATAGTGACGTGAGCTTATTCCGGGGAAGACGGTGAAGTGAGTCACTCGTCTCAGGTGAAGAAGACCAAGTCGTAATAGACGGGCCAATTTTGGTCAATCAGACGTAGAAAGACCGCCATTAATAGAAAAATGATGAATCTTTTATCTTGCATCATCATAATCTTAGAACAGTGCCGCTTGACTTGACCTTTCTAACAATATTTGGACTTTTCTCTTGAGATTTTAATCATCACCACAACATTACAGAATCACTTAACGTAACCCTACCATTGTTAAATGTTACATTCAATGCTGAGATCTTTGCTATTTATAGATCGGTTGGGTTTGTGTTGTTTCAGGAAATATTAAGAAAACAAAAGCTACACCAAATTGGGACTGTTCTTGAGAGGCTGGTACTGAAGCTATGAGACTTCATGAGAGCTTGAGTCCTTTCGTTTATGTTCTTGTACTGTCTTGCTTCCTCTTGAGCGTGTCTCTGGCTCAGGAAAGAACATTCTTTTCCGGCAAGCTCAATGATTCCGAGACGATAGTCTCCAGCTTTAGCACGTTCAGGTTCGGTTTCTTCAGCCCTGTTAATTCCACTAGTCGATATGCTGGTATATGGTATAACAGTATATCTGTACAAACTGTGATATGGGTTGCCAACAAAGATAAACCGACTAATGACTCCTCTGGAGTTATTTCAGTATCTGAAGATGGAAATCTCGTAGTTACTGATGGTCAGAGGCGTGTTCTATGGTCAACTAACATCTCTACTCAAGCTCATGCCAATTCTACTGTCGCTGAGCTTCTGGATTCCGGGAATCTCGTGCTAAAGGAGGCGAGTAGTGATGCATATCTTTGGGAGAGCTTCAAGTATCCTACTGATTCTTGGTTGCCAAATATGTTGGTTGGGACAAACGCAAGAACCGGAGGAGGAAACGTCACGATAACTTCTTGGAAAAACCCTTCGGATCCTTCGCCAGGGAGCTACACTGCTGCACTCGTTCTTGCTGCATATCCAGAGCTCTTCATTATGAATAATAATAATAATAACAGTACGGTGTGGCGAAGTGGCCCGTGGAATGGCCAGATGTTTAATGGTTTGCCAGATGTATATGCGGGCGTTTTTCTTTATAGATTCATAGTTAATGATGACACCAATGGATCTGTCACCATGTCATATGCTAATGATTCAACTTTGAGATACTTCTACATGGATTATAGAGGATCCGTGATCCGAAGAGATTGGAGTGAGGCTAGGAGAAACTGGACGGTCGGGTTACAAGTTCCGGCAACCGAGTGTGACATCTACAGGCGATGTGGAGAATTCGCTACCTGCAATCCTCGGAAAAACCCGCCTTGTTCTTGCATTAGAGGGTTTAGGCCAAGGAACCTTATAGAGTGGAACAATGGAAACTGGAGTGGTGGATGCACAAGAAGGGTCCCTTTGCAGTGTGAAAGACAGAACAATAATGGGAGTGCTGATGGGTTTTTGAGGCTGCGGCGAATGAAATTGCCTGACTTTGCCAGAAGATCCGAAGCAAGCGAACCAGAATGCTTAAGGACTTGTTTGCAGACATGTTCTTGTATAGCTGCTGCTCATGGCTTAGGATATGGCTGCATGATTTGGAATGGAAGCTTAGTTGATTCGCAGGAGTTGTCTGCTAGTGGATTGGATCTTTATATCCGTCTTGCACATTCAGAAATCAGTAAGTATTATTCCAAAACTTCTCTCACATTCTTACATTGGTGATTGCAGCTATATTAATTCTGCTATTTCTTGCCCAATCTCAAATAGAAACAAAGGACAGGCGACCAATTTTGATCGGTACATCATTGGCAGGCGGTATTTTTGTTGTGGCAGCTTGTGTTCTTCTGGCACGACAGATTGTCATGAAGAAAAGAGGTCAGTGTTTAACAAAATTATGTTTGCTTCTTATAAGCGTTGGAATTTTTAATTTTAACAAAACTTGCATTTGGTGTCAGCAAAAAAGAAAGGAAGAGATGCAGAGCAGATTTTTGAGAGAGTGGAAGCTTTAGCTGGTGGTAATAAAGGAAAGTTGAAAGAGCTACCATTGTTTGAGTTTCAAGTGCTAGCAGAAGCAACTAATAATTTCTCTCTCAGAAATAAGCTTGGACAAGGTGGCTTTGGTCCTGTTTACAAGGTAAGTATGACTCTTATAGGTTATAGCAATAAGTCTTTCGGTTGGGAAACAGGTTTCAATCATCTTATCATTTTTTTGATGCAGGGGAAGTTGAAAGAGGGGCAAGAGATTGCTGTGAAGAGGCTGTCACGAGCATCAGGGCAAGGGCTTGAGGAACTTGTTAATGAAGTGGTTGTGATTTCTAAGTTGCAACATCGGAATCTGGTGAAATTACTTGGTTGCTGCATTGCAGGAGAAGAGAGGATGTTAGTCTATGAGTTCATGCCCAAGAAAAGCTTAGACTATTATCTCTTTGGTAATTTATTACTATCTTTTGTTCTTAAACTCTGTTTCAATGTTATCACCAGGTCAACTAACAGAAGCTAATGTGTTGTTCAGACTCAAGGAGGGCAAAACTTCTTGATTGGAAGACGCGGTTTAACATAATCAATGGAATATGTAGAGGGCTTCTGTACCTTCACAGAGATTCTAGGCTGAGAATCATTCATAGAGATCTGAAAGCTAGCAACATCTTGTTAGATGAGAATCTGATTCCGAAAATATCTGATTTTGGGTTGGCTAGGATTTTCCCAGGGAATGAAGGTGAAGCAAACACCCGAAGGGTCGTTGGAACATAGTAAGTAGCCCCATTCGACCATATCTTACATCTTTTTTTTCCATTAAGATAGTCACAAAACCGAGAAAACTAATAAATGTATCGTGCAGCGGTTATATGGCACCTGAATATGCAATGGGAGGACTGTTTTCAGAGAAATCTGATGTTTTCAGCTTAGGAGTGATACTCTTAGAGATTATCAGTGGAAGAAGAAACTCAAATTCGACTCTTTTAGCTTATGTGAGTCTACCTAACTCTACTAAGTTTCTTAACTCTCTTGTGATTATTCTTAAGCTATAAAAGCTCCTCTGTTTTACAGGTATGGTCAATCTGGAACGAAGGGGAGATTAATGGTCTGGTAGATCCTGAGATTTTTGACCACCTCTTTGAGAAAGAAATACACAAATGCATTCACATTGGGCTTTTGTGTGTGCAAGAAGCTGCTAATGATAGGCCGAGTGTTTCTACAGTGTGTTCGATGCTCAGCAGCGAGATTGCAGACATTCCAGAACCAAAACAGCCTGCTTTTATATCAAGGAACAATGTTCCAGAAGCTGAGTCCGCTGAGAACAGTGACCCTAAAGACTCTATCAACAATGTCACCATCACCGATGTTACAGGACGTTAGAACCAGAGCCAAAATGTATGTGTAATTCGTGAAACTCTTAAGCATTCCCAGAGTATAATATATCATCTATCTTATATAGATGTTTATGTCTTATACATCTAGTATGTACAAGAAATTTTCGTTCATATAACAAATTCCACTGTACGAAACCAAATACAAAATCAAGAATCATCATTTCTTAAAAGAAAAATCTCTTAAGCTTTTGCTAGTCCTTATAGGAGGAAGTTCCACAGATGCAAGAACAGGCTTCTTTTCTGAGCTTTCATGCGCAAGAGAATGATGTGTGGAAGTTTCAGCTTCTTGGTGTTGGGACTCAGGATCCCAAAAGTGGTGTTCATGATGATCATGACCCGAGTGTCTAGGAGAAGGAGAATTTGGGTAACTTTCAACGCTCCGGTTATTGAAATTGTGAAGGAGATGGATTGGAGATGAGCCATGTGTTGGTGTGGTTGGACGGCTAGAGAAAGGTGTGTTGGATTCCGAGTGTCTTCCGTGTTTAGTCTCGCTCTTTGCAGTGCGATGCCACTTCTTTAATGCCGTGGCTACTCTATCGTTAAATACTGTTGGCTTCATTTTAGAACCCATCTACACACAATTTTCATTAAACACAGTGTCAAAAAACTAAATATCATATATCCAAAATCTGGTATCGATGTAACAATAATTTTGTGTAGTACCTGAGTAACAAGAGCATAGAGTGGAAGAGTCACATAGCTGCAAAGTATCTGAACAACAGCTCTGCAAGATTTATAAAAAGGGTTATTATAGTTAAAGGACAAATTCTCAGAATCAACTGTCAAGATAATGTTAGCTTACCCAACTACAAGTCTAATGACCACATCTGCAGTGCTTTCATGGAAACAATTATTGAGATTGAATTCATACTGCAAATACAGAAAATTTATGACATAACAATTAGTATGGCCTGAAACAGCGATGTTTTAAAATAAAATGAAATGGCTCGCTTACCGTGCTCCAGGCAAAGAAGGCAAGTTGAAATGCATTCTGCAAAGTGAAGAAATTTTGGTACTCATGAGTTTATTCTACGGCTAAGAGAAATAAAAAAACCCGAAAGAGATTGAATAAACGAGCAATGAAGGATATAAGTATTGTACCGTAAAAAGGACCAAGTGGATAAGGAAAAGAATGAACCGTGGCTTGCCAAACCAGAAGAGGTCATCACCAGGCTGAACCACTGGGGCACCTCTCACCACATCACCTTTCTCTTGGATTCTTAGACCCAATTTTGTTATTATGACTTCAAGCTTTGTTCCAACTATTAGAATTACCTGCAGTTATATTCTCATTCTGTTAAGAACTGGCGGCAAAAAAAGACCAAATCGAAGAAATGTTTTATCGGTTTAAGAGTTGTTGTACTTACGACTAGTGGAATGAATGGTAACCAGAGGTAAGAACGTAATCCTGTTTCAAAAGAAAACCAATTTCAGTTTTGTGCGACTATTGATGCAGCTATGATGTAATTTTTGCGGTAAGCAATGAACATTACCATGTGAATTGGTCAAGAGGAATAGCACAGCGACAAACCAGATAACCGGACTGCATAAAGTTGGCAAAGATTTAAGACAAAATATCCAAATTGGCTTTGCTAAGACTAAAAGAAAAAATCGTTATAAGATCCAAACCTGATTTCAACAACGGTTTTGAAGTCTTTCTCCAATGATCTCTGAATATACTTGCGGAAATCGTATCTTGATTCGTTACCGGGAGCAAAATGTGCCTGAAAAATGTAGTTGGATCATTGTCTTGAGAGATAAATGTTACAATAGATAAAAAGAAAAAATTCCTTACCATGATGAAACCATGTCTTAGTGCAAAGTAATCAACTTTGGTGACAGATCCAAAGAACTGTCTGAAAAAACACACAGTCCATAGTGTAACACTCGTCTTGCTCCAGAAATTGAGATGTCTTCTCCCAAAAGATGTGTCCCTCGCAAACCTGAACCTCTGAGGATCTGCATAACAAGAATTATCCACCGTAAATCTCCCATTCCGGTGTTTAAATTTTGTCGAATACTCATATTTACATACCGTTGGAATACTGATACTCTATTGTCTTTGTCTCCTCCTCCCACGACTTCCACCTCCTCATCTGCAATACTCAAGAAAACAAGTATAAAAATCTTTTGCATGCAATCTTTAATTTCTTGATTCTCGCCTTACCAACTGCGGAAATCACAAGAAATGTTACCTTGATCTTTCCGAAAGCATAAGTAACAATGCAGTAAATAACATGAACAACAGCGAGCACGAAGATGAATATATGCAGCTGGTGGATTCCATAAGCAGATACAAAAGCCACTTTCCCCTGAGTAAATCCATCAATTGCAATCAAATTTCGATCGATTTAACAAGCCGAGAATGATTTATATATATGGGAGATTATTAGTTACCTTCTCTGCACATTTGTCATAACCTTTGGTGGCTAAACTTCTTCTATGGATATAAGAGTCAGCTAGCTCAAGAAGAAGTCTTCGACCGGGTTTATCTCCATCTTCTTTCTTTCCGGTGTCTTTCTTGCCGTATTTTTCAGCTTCTGCAGCGGCACTGCAAGGGTGCATTGTTTTTGCAACCTTCTGGGAGATGCAGATATTTGAGATTGGTGTTTGTCCAACTGTGAGCAGTAGTGATATGAATCCCAACAGCATAAGCTCTAAAATGAAGTTTAAGTATAAAAAAATCAGGAGCTTGTTATTGGATCAAGTTAAGTAGAAAAAGATAAGAAGCTTGTTAATAATGAATGGATCAAGTTAGGTAGATAAAGATAGTTTACCTGCTTTGACCTTTTCTAGAGCTTCAAAAAGAGCATGCTTGTGCTTCTTTTTAAACCACTGTTTAGGTATAAAAAAGGAAATTAATGAGCTGAGATTTGCGTTATTCACAGATTTAGTAGTGATGATAGTGATAGGAGAAGAACTAAACAAATGAACACGAAACAGGGGAATCTTGAAACAGTGAGCAAGAACACGAAACAGGGGAATCTTGAAATAAGGACAAATCTAAGAGAGACTTACGGTTCCAATTTTGTGAATCGAATGTTCGAGGACAATCGAAATAAATAGTAAGACGAAGCAAACAACAGCTACTGCCCACGTAGAGGTCTCCTCTAAAGTCCGCTCTTTTACTTGGTTTGCCATTAGAGCTTAATCCTAAGAAAAAACCCCAAATAAGACTCTTCTCTTTCCAGACCAGAGATCTTGTCTTTTTATATATAATGATAAAAATAGAAACACACGAAGAGAGAGAGAGAGACGCAGTCAGAGTTTCGTGTTCTTCTTTTGCTCTAACTTCTCTCTTAGGTCATAATATAGAGCAGACGAAAGAGGGAAGAAGAAGAAGATAAGACCCGCAACGAGAGACTGTAATAATGAAGGCTTATTCGAGAAAGCTTCAAAGTTTTGACTTTCTTTTGTCGTTGTTCCTCATGTGACGAGCGACGACTCCTCCTCAATTATCACCGTACCCATTATTCTTTTTGGTCTACTTTATTTTGATTTTTACTGTGGTCAATCATGGGTGTTTTTTTTTTTTTTGGTATATAACATTTCCATTTTTTTTGGTATATAGTATTTCCTTGACCTTTTCTCCTCTTCTTACCCGGAAAACTGTGAAGAGATCTTTCATGACTTCATTCCCAGGATCACTGATGACGTGAATATTTCCTTGTTGAGGAAGGTGAGCAAGGAAGAAGTTAGAGAAGCAGTTTTCTCTATCAAATCCGCTAGTGCCTCGGGTTATGATGGTATGACAGGACTCTTTTTTTAGCAGTACTGGGACATTGTTGGATCCCATCTCACTGAAGAGGTTTTAAGGTTCTTTTCTGAAGGTCATTTTGAAAGAGAATGGAACTTCACACAATTATGCCTTATTCCCAAGAAGGTTGGTGCTTCTTCTATGAAGGATCTCAGACCTATTAGTCTTTGTTCAGTCATGTATAAGGTCATTTCTAAGATCCTTGTCTCGAGATTGAAGCCCCTGTTGTCCAAGATTGTCTCTCCGAATCAATCGGCTTTTGTTGAGGAAAGGCTTATCTCTGACAATATTATGATTGCTCATGAAGTTGTCCACGGCCTAAGGACTCACAATGCAACTTCCAAGGAGTTTATGGCCATAAAAACTGACATGTCCAAAGCTTTTGATCGTGTCGAATGGAGCTACTTGGAAAATCTGCTTATTGCATTAGGGTTTCATGTCATTTGGGTAAACTGGATTATGACTTGTGTTAAATCTGTCTCCTACACGGTTCTGATAAATGGGCAGCCGTATGGTTTGGTGGTCCCTCAGCGGGGATTACGACAAGGTGACCCACTATCACCCTTCCTTTTCATTCTTTGTACCGAAGGTCTCACGCACTTGCTCAATAAAGCTGAGAAGAGAGGTTTGATTAATGGGTTGCAGTTCTCAACACAAGGTCCCTCTATACATCACTTGCTTTTTGCCGACGACTCACTTTTCATTTGCAAAGCCCTTGAGGTCCAATGTTCTGCTTTTAAAGATATTCTTGACATTTATGGTAGAGCTACAGGGCAGATTATCAACCTTGATAAGTCTTCTATCACCTTTGGCTCAAAAATCTCTGATTTGGATAAAGCTGTGATTAAGAGCAACATTGGCATTGTTAATGAAGGTGGGGCTGGAACTTACTTGGGACTCCCAGAATGTTTTAGTGGTTCTAAAGCTGATATGCTTGAATACATCCATGACATGTTGAAGAACAGACTCTCGGGCTGGTTTGCCAGAACTTTGTCTCAAGGAGGAAAAGAAGTTCTCCTCAAGTCTGTGGCTATGGCGATGCCTGTATATGCCATGTCATGTTTCAAACTACCTAAATCCACATGTGAGTCCTTATCCGGTGCTATGTCTGCTTTCTGGTGGAGTACCATGGAACATCACAAGAAGATTCACTGGGTATCTTGGAGCAAGCTTTGTCAGCCTAAGCACATTGGTGGCCTTGGGTTCAAGGACATTGAACTTTTCAACCAAGCATTGTTAGCTAAGCAAGCATGGAGGCTTCTTCACAATCCCACCTGCCTTTTCTCTCTCTTTATCAAAAGTAGATACTATGAAGAGGATCAGTTCCTAGAGGCTTGTTTGGGACCAAGACCATCCTTTGCATGGAGGAGCATTCTTCACGGGAGAGAACTGCTGGAAAAAGGTCTTAGACAAGGTATTGGGAATGGTGCTTCTGTTAAGGTTTGGACAACTCGTTGGATCCAAGATGACATTCTCAGGGCTCCCTTCATGAAAAACATCTTGGTAAACTTGAAACTTACTGTGGCGGATCTTCTTGATCCTATTACCAAGAGTTGGGACAGGGATAAGCTCCAAGATCACTTTTTTCAAAGAGATCAAGATCTCATTATAAAGATTAAGCATGCACCCTCCTCTCCGGACTTCATGGTTTGGCTATACAACAGAAGTGGGGACTATTCCGTACGCTCAGGTTATTGGTTAGCCTCTCAGAATCATGATGTGGAGCTCCAGCATGAGGTAGCTTCCTTACCCTCTCTCAATCCCATTAAAGAAAAAATCTGGGAAGTTTTGGCTCCTTCCAAGATAAAAATGTTCCTTTGGAAAGCTGTCAGTGGAGCTATCCCCGTGGCTGAGAGACTGGCTACTAGAGGTGTAAGGATTGATCCGCGATGTCTTATCTGTGGGTTTGAAGGAGAATCAATCAACCATGTTTTGTTCTTATGCACTTCGGCCAGACAAACCTGGGCTTTATCCAACATTCCATCTCCAGAAAATGGTTTCTCAGATCACTCTCTTTACCATAATGTTTTCCATGTCCTCTTGATGTCTAAGAATTCAGATCTGCCTATTGACTCAAGGAGAACTGTCCCCTGGATCTTATGGATTTTGTGGAAAAATAGGAACAATATGGTTTTTGAAGGTAAGATCTTCCACCAACTTGATATGATTGCCAAAATAAAGGAAGATGCTGGGAATTGGTTCCTTGCCCAACAGGTTGAGAAAGAGGAAGAGACCATTACTGGTAAGGCTTTGGCAGGAACTCACAAATTCTGGAAACCTCCAGACAATCCCTGGCTCAAGTGCAACATTGCCTCCTCATGGGATAAGCATAACAAGGTTGGTGGAGCTGCTTGGGTTCTCCGGAATTCTGTTGGAGAGGTTTTACTCCATAGCAGATGCTCTTTCAGTAATATTGAATCGAAACAAGATGCAGAATTTGAATGCTGGCTATGGTCTATCGAGAGTATGCGTAGTCTCAAGATCCGAAGACTTATCTTGGCTACTAATGAGAAGTATCTCATGGATGTGGTGTTAAGGCCGTCAGCTTGGCCATCTTACACGTCCCAATCCAAGTCTCTGCTTTTTGCTTTAAGTCACATTTCTCATTGGAAAATCTGTTATGAAGAGAGATGCGCTAACTTGGGTGCTTCCCGCATTGCTCAGAGTGTGACAAGAGAGGATCGACGACAATCATACGTAGCCTCCGGCTACCCTTTTTGGTTACATGATTTATTCAGTGAAGAGATGTATACTGCTTGATTGTAGTACTTTTTGTATTCTCTTCTGTGTAGATGATTGTCGTGGATCTTTTTTGTTTTATTGTTTCCTCTGTAAACTAAACCTTCCTTCGATTTTAATATATTGAATCATTCAGTCGAAAAAAAAAAAAAAAAACATTTCCATTTTGTGTACTTTGGTTGTATAGTACTTGAGATTGTATAAATAAGAATAACATTACTATAATGGGATCTCTCGTTGGAAAGTTCGTCATTATTTTTTTTTGTCTATTCCCAACTTGTTTGTTATCTAAATAATAAGATACTCGTAGACGCGCGACAAAAAAAGAATTAAGATCCTCGTTGAAATAAAATAATACAGTAAATACCATGATTCGAGATATAACCATGCTCCTTTGTTTAATTTAAATTTATACCAAATGTAGTTTCTTCTATAATAAAAAAATATATTAATTAGGTAACAATAAATTTCAACCATAATTGCTAATTAAAATTTGAAAATGACATTTTCCACCAATACATGACCGAAATATAAATAAATAAAAATGACTGATAAGTTGAAATAAGTCGGCAAAACATTTTTTCGATCGAAAGCTACATTTGATGATGTGATTGTTCTTTTATCTACAAAAATTTCAGTTTCGAAGTTTACCATTTACGTGTGTTATTTTTTTCTTGTTAATTTTCTAGATTTTAGTAATTTTTTCTTAATCAACTATACAAGAGTTTTATACTTTTATTATCCATCTTACTATCTATACTGTTTAGTGGGTGGGTGATTGATTTTCTTACAGCCGTAAATAAGAATTGTAATTTATTACATTTAGAAGTAACTAAAATTGTAAATATATTATTGTAGCCAAAATTTAACTATTAAACTTTTTTTTTCTGAAATTATAAAAATTATAGAGTTTTAAAAATAGAAATAAAATAAAATATAATATTTTGACTATTTCATATATTTAAGAATATTATTGTCAGAAAAAAGAGTTTGAGATTTATTGATAAGTTGTACTTACAAAATATTCGAAAACAGTTGCACCGTTGAACAGATGCAGCAGTAATTAATACAGTATAACCTCTATAAATTAGTACTCGATAAAATAATAAATTCTTCCGGTCCCGAGTTGGGATCAGCGTAAAAATGAAACAAATCGATAAATTAATAAGATAATATTTTTTCTAAAAATCTTATATAAACATATGGTCCCATCAATTTCATAAATTAATAATTATATAAACTTTAAACTTATCAATATATATATATATATATTTAACTTAATATATATTTAAAATATTATATGTAAAATTTTGAATGAAATATGACTCTCTTATTCGAAAAAAGTTTGTGTTATTTTCTAAACTTAATAATTGCTTCTCTACTTGTAATTGATTTAAAAAATATATTACTTATAAATATAAAAAAAAACTTTCTTTTAGATAGAAATTTTTTAAAAAATTTATAAAATTAGTAAAATCTTCTAAATTAATTAAATTTTCAGATCCTAACATTATTAATTTATAGAGGTTTTACTGGTTAGATAATTAGTTATGTTTTGCACAAAAAAAAGAAAAAGATAATTAGTTATATGTTAAGTGGAAAATGTTGTATTTAGCTGACTTTCCATTAGCCATCGTCCATCGAATGTTTTTTCTTTAACTAATAACATCTTTAAAATAATGAAAGTGTTGCTTACTTGGCACGTGATTAAAGACTACTGACAGAAAAGAAAAAAAAGAAAAAAACAAGATTAAGCATCTTATATGGAGTGCAAGTAGACGTATATATAATATCAGAATAGTTGACAGAAAATACGTACTGAAGAATAAATATACACAATTTATAAGTTTTCTTCTTCGTCGATAATCGATATACGTTTAGAATTTAAAATAAAGGCAATCTAGCTATGTTTATGAATATTAATTAAATTGATTGTACATGTACAATTGTACATAAAGTCATAAACTATGAAGAGTGGATTACAAGCTTGTGATGAAAACTCTAATCTTTCTATAACATTTAACATGTGCTCATCTTTATGACTGCTACAATTGCATCTTAAGTTCAAAGAGTCAACAAATAACAATGCATGCTTAGGCATATATGTATATATATATATATATAGAAAAATATACATTTGTCGCAAAAAAATAGATATGTAGATATGTAAATTATACATTGTTAATTAATTAATTAACAAATTAGTCACAGAGAGTTTCAAATGTAATGATTTAACCAAAGACCGCTTAAGATGATGGACATATAATAATTAAATGAATATAATCAAACAAAAAAACATTTATTGCATATGCATGTGGTTGTGTTGTTGATGAGGCGTAATGTTTAATCAAAAAGATCGTATGAGAATGTGAAGACGTGTTATATGGTCACGCTTGAATATGATTTATCAATGAACCTAAGACGACATAAATGACTAGATGGCGGAAATGTGAGGCTAAATAAACGAGATGCTGATTTTTTTATTATCTACTTACATTTCATGCATCTTAATTTCCATATAATCCATAAAAACTGTATCTTATATGCTATTTTCTCAATTAACGTTCTGACCAATGCGGCTAGAGACAAATACATCCTTCTCCACTCTTTATGAAAAACGAAAGAAAAAATTGACATATCTTTTTTCTATTGTCACAAGAAAGACATCCTCTTTTCTATCGTTATGTATCATGTTACGTTTTAGATTGTTTAAGAGTTTGTTTCTTCACTTGCCTAATAGTTTACTCTTGTCTGTAAGTTTATCTTTTAGTCTTATACGAGTTAGTTTTACACGTATTTAGAATCTTTTTAGTCAAAATTTCTAGATTAAATTTCAAAGTTGATGACGTAAAACAATCATTTTCTCTATACTAAATAAAGAAAATCACGTTTCAGCTAACTAGATAAGGACCACAAGGTTCATTATTTATTTGTGTAGAAGACCCTCAACTTTCTCACGACTTTCCAAAATATCAGTGATGTCAACCTTCATTAAGTCACTAACCATGTGTATGGTCCAGTTCAAGATTCTGAAATGCGCGATTCAATCGTTACCACAACTTAAGATCGAAACCGGACATTAGACCCCATGCCGGTCCGGTCGTGTTTAGAATCGCCTTTGTTACTTCGTCAACTATATCCCTTGCCTTTGGGCTTTGGTTCTCAATAAGAAAATATTATTTTGGTTTTAGGTTTGACCAAAACATATAAACCGAAATAATCAGAAATTCGAAGAGAACCGAAACGAACCGACGTAAGAAACCGGATCACCCAATTCAAGATTTTGAAACTCAAAACCCCCAAAATCCAAACTCATCATAAACCCTAAAACTTTTTCTCATCTTCTCTACTGATTCAATCCTGTTATCATCGATAGAAATGATCGTCACTGGGTACGAATTTTTCTAGAATCTTCAAGCTTTCGTTACCAGTTTCCGATAAAAAATGGACCCAATTGCTTCGGTGTTGGAGAAAGTGAAGAGCTTTACGAAATCGAGCCAGGATTTAGTCTCCCGCCATTTCGGCTTCCACGAGAATCCTTCTCGCCAGAATCCGGTATCTTCATCCATATCCCCTTCACCCATCTGTTCTTGGAATCAACCTCTTGTTTGAAATGTATGTATCACCAGTGGTGTTGAATTTGAGTTGGTTTTGGGAATTATGTTGCAGATTGATATCTTAAAGAGATTACAAAGAGAAGCATTCTCGGATTTGATGAAACTTAGAGATAGACAAGAGAAAGTTGAGCGGATTATTTCCTCGCAGAAATTATCAAAATCAGGTCCGTTTCAAGAGACTAGCACTCATGTGAGAGGTGAGGTTGATGTGCTTGGAGCTATATTGCTGATGGGAAACACTGACGACGAAAGTTTCAATGGACTCCATAAAGAAGGTGTGAGACCTGGATTACTCTCAAGGTTTGTGTTTGAAACGAGTCTTAGGGAGACAGATAGGCTTGTGGCTGAGCTTGTTGCTGGATACAAAGGGGAAGGAAATCACTGTGATTTTTCTGGGAGAGAGTTGTCTTTAGCCAAAGTCTTCTACGAGGCAGATATTAATGATTGGTTCTCCGCTGTTGCTATTCCTGTTGGTGCGCATTTCAGAGACATTGAGGCTTCTACTGTGTCTTCTTACCAGGTACTCACCAATTGTTGCAGATTTCTGTTTCTATATTTGTTGTGTTTTCGTTTTTAATTTCCAATTTTGCATTGATCTATCAGCTATGTGATAGTTTGGCTTGAGGTATATCAACCTTATTGGATCAACCTTGGTGGTTTTCTAGTTAGAAACTCTAAGCAATACTATTTCTATGGTTTCTTTCTTAACCATTTTTCTCTGACTTTATCGTTATTGATGAAGCTACAGATACATTTACCTCTGTCTTGCAGGGAATGAGTCTTACAGAAGTTTCTGAACTTGGACCACCTCTTTTAAACCAACACAATGGTAGCGCCATAGGGTTAATAGTCAGAAAGTCAAACATCACAGCTTCACTAGCCCAATCCATGTCGAACGTTGAAGTTGAACAGGGTGCACCAAATCGTGGTTTCAGAACATTTGGGCAAGTAACCTGCCACATTCTCAGAAGTTTAAAGATATCTCTATTGGGCTGTCACCAAGTTTTAACACCATCTAGCAACCTCCATTCTGTTGGAGCCATTACACTTCCAGTAAGTTTCCTAAGGCGCCATACTGCTACGGAGCCTGAACCACCAGCACCGCCTCTGGAGATGAGTAGAAGCATGAATCATGTGTTGTCTAGTGCCATTGCTTTGAAGTTAGACTCTCTAATGGACGAGTCTACAAAACTTGGGGGATGGATTGAAATTCAGAACTCAAGAGAAAAGCAAGTAAAATGGTCAGTGTCTATTACAGACAACCCAGAGGATGAAGTGGGCTGGGGCATGAGTGTTGGGGGAGTCGTCGATAGTTCAAGAAATCATGATCGGTTTCAGGTGGAATCGTATCTGAAATTCAACATAGGCGATCGGTTTAGCTTAAGACCAGGTCTTGTTTATCACACAAACAGTAACGGAAGAACCATAGGTCTTATGCTACAGTCTCACTGGTCGCTGTGATCTCAAGGTTACTCAATACATGTACATTGATGGTTCTAAATACCACTGACTGCATTTTGAGATTTTTGTGTCCAATGCAATCTATTTGTCTGAAAATATATTATGCAGTAGCCATTTTTTGTGATTGATCTAATATGCTTAGGGAGAAGTAAAATAACTGAAGATTGATCTATGATTACTGATTAGTATGTCTTGATTGCAACTTAACATAAGTTGTGGCATTTTAAAGTTTATTTGAAAGAATTCTTCTTAAACAAGATGTGACTGTACAACAGGTTGATTGATGTTGAGAGCTATGTTGTGACCTCTCTAATCTCATGAACGTACAAAATACTCTAAGACTTTTCATCTGTCGAAGTCAATGACCCTTTTCTCAGGTCTCATTTGATACAACGATGTCCTATGAAGAACGCAATGGCAAAAAGGTACTTATGTTTTCCTTTTCCCTTTTATTTTTCTGCTCAAAGATATGGACGTTTAGGCATTTCATCAATTCCAAAACCATTAGCTACCCACTAAAACATTTGCGAACCAATCCAATTTACAACTACATACTGTATGACAAAAACAATTCAACTCAAATCCTCAAACTTTAACGACGGCAAAACACCAAGTGGTCTGCGAAACACGCGTTCCTTTGTATAACCAAGAATGGGAATAGAAAAGTCAAAAAAGTATAATTTTTTTATTAATCTGCAAACAAACAAAGTGTACTCGAAATGTAAAAAAAATGACCCCATTGAAATCGCACTAAAGGCAACTAGCCAACTAGTCCTCTCACTTTCAATCGTAAAGAAAAGTCAAGATTGGTGGTTTATTCCACTCTCACTGCTAATTGGTGGGCTATTCAATGAATCCACCTAATAACATTATTACACCAGAAACAAATCTTTGTTGAAACATAAAACTTACATCATTTTCTTAGTCAAGTCCTCTCATAGAGACAACAAATAGACTACTACTTTACTAATTTACCTCTCTCTTGTAGGAAAAACATAGCAAAACTGGAATCATTCTGTTTCACAGAGTTATGGTGGTTTCAGTGAACATACGTCGTCGGTTTGTTGTTCTTCTTCTTCTACTCGCATTCACTTGCTTGTTGTCTCCTAGACTCTGTTCTGGTGAGGACAGAATCACTTTCACAACTCCGATCAAAGACTCAGAGACCCTTCTCTGCAAAAGTGGTATTTTCAGGTTTGGTTTCTTCACTCCTGTTAATTCCACTACTCGGTTACGTTACGTTGGGATTTGGTACGACAAGATTCCAATCCAAACTGTGGTTTGGGTTGCTAACAAAGACGCTCCTATCAACGACACTTCCGGTGTTATCTCGATCTATAACGATGGAAATCTCGCGGTTACCGATGGTCGAAAGCGCCTTGTATGGTCGACGAACGTCTCAGTACCAGTAGCTCCTAATGCTACTTGGGTTCAGCTAATGGATTCCGGGAATCTTATGTTACAAGATAACAGAAACAATGGTGAGATTCTGTGGGAGAGTTTTAAGCATCCTTATGATTCTTTCATGCCAAGAATGACTCTTGGCACCGACGGTAGAACTGGTGGGAATCTAAAGCTTACTTCTTGGACAAGTCATGATGATCCTTCAACAGGGAACTACACAGCTGGTATTGCTCCTTTCACGTTTCCTGAGCTTCTTATCTGGAAGAACAATGTTACAACATGGCGTAGCGGACCGTGGAACGGTCAGGTTTTCATCGGTTTACCGAATATGGATTCACTTCTGTTTCTTGATGGGTTTAATCTTAATAGTGATAATCAAGGGACGATTTCAATGTCTTATGCTAATGATTCGTTCATGTATCACTTTAACTTGGATCCTGAAGGAATTATTTATCAGAAAGATTGGAGTACTTCTATGAGAACTTGGAGGATCGGTGTAAAGTTTCCATACACAGACTGTGATGCATACGGTAGATGTGGTCGATACGGGAGCTGCCATGCCGGGGAAAACCCGCCTTGTAAATGCGTTAAAGGGTTTGTGCCAAAGAATAACACCGAGTGGAATGGTGGGAATTGGAGTAATGGATGTGTGAGAAAAGCTCCATTGCAGTGTGAAAGACAGAGAAATGTAAGTAATGGTGGTGGTGGTGGAAAAGCAGATGGGTTTTTGAAACTGCAGAAGATGAAAGTGCCAATCTCTGCGGAACGGTCTGAAGCTAATGAACAAGTTTGTCCTAAAGTCTGTTTAGATAACTGTTCTTGCACGGCTTATGCTTATGATAGAGGAATCGGATGCATGCTTTGGAGTGGTGATTTAGTTGATATGCAATCATTTTTGGGAAGTGGCATTGATCTTTTTATTCGAGTTGCGCATTCAGAACTCAGTGAGTGAAATATCTCTCGTAGTTCTCACTTGTTTTCTTCTCCATTCTGTTTTCTTTTACTGACTCAAGTATTCTCACAAATCTTGTAGAAACACATAGCAATCTAGCAATTATGATCGCAGCACCTGTGATAGGCGTTGCGTTAATTGCTGCGGTCTGTGTTCTTTTAGCATGCCGGAAATTCAGAAAGCGTCCAGGTTAGAAGTTTGTTTACTCATGAATGTTTGCTTCAGATTGTTACATTGATCATAATTTGTTTGCTTCATTGATCATTGCCTTAGCAGCTCCAGCGAAAGATAGAAGTGCAGAGCTAATGTTTAAGAGAATGGAAGCACTTACAAGTGATAATGAGTCTGCTTCTAACCAAATAAAGCTCAAGGAGCTTCCACTCTTTGAGTTTCAAGTGTTAGCTACAGCAACCGATAGCTTCTCTCTCAGAAACAAGCTCGGTCAAGGCGGGTTTGGTCCTGTTTACAAGGTAAAGCATTATACAAGAATCTTTTTGGAAGGAGATATGTGTACAAATTATCTCAGACTAAGTGATTGGTAATCTTTTCATTCAGGGAAAATTACCAGAAGGACAAGAAATTGCAGTCAAGAGGCTCTCAAGGAAATCAGGACAAGGACTAGAGGAACTTATGAACGAAGTGGTTGTGATATCGAAGTTGCAACATCGGAATCTAGTGAAGTTACTTGGATGTTGCATTGAAGGTGAAGAAAGAATGTTAGTCTATGAATATATGCCAAAGAAAAGCTTGGATGCATATCTATTTGGTAAACTAATTACCTCTGACTCTGTTTTTAACCTATGCATTTAACTCTGTTTATACCATATTGGCTCAGGATGATCGAATAGAAGGCTAATGTTTTTGCTAACTTCTCTCAGACCCATTGAAGCAAAATATTCTTGATTGGAAGACTCGGTTCAACATAATGGAAGGAATTTGCAGAGGTCTTTTGTACCTTCACAGAGATTCAAGACTAAAGATCATACACAGAGATTTAAAAGCCAGCAACATTTTGTTAGATGAGAATCTAAACCCGAAGATATCTGATTTCGGACTCGCAAGAATTTTCCGTGCGAATGAAGATGAAGCTAACACAAGAAGGGTTGTTGGAACATAGTAAGTATCCATTCCCAAATACACAATTAACATTACGAAAATCGGTTTTATTCAAATATTGTTTTTGCAGCGGCTATATGTCACCGGAATATGCAATGGAAGGTTTCTTTTCAGAAAAATCAGATGTTTTCAGCTTGGGGGTTATATTTCTAGAGATCATAAGTGGGAGAAGAAACTCTAGTTCTCACAAGGAAGAGAATAATCTGAACCTTTTGGCTCATGTAAGTATACTAATTAAAGCAGTGTTTAGTAACTTATGGTTAAGCTTTAAAACTTACCTTAAAAACTTGGTTTTTACAGGCGTGGAAGCTGTGGAATGACGGTGAGGCTGCTTCTCTAGCAGATCCAGCCGTCTTTGAAAAGTGTTTCGAGAAAGAGATAGAGAAATGTGTTCATATTGGACTGTTATGTGTGCAAGAAGTTGCAAACGACAGACCAAATGTTTCAAACGTGATATGGATGCTAACTACCGAGAACATGAACCTCGCCGATCCGAAGCAGCCAGCGTTTATAGTAAGAAGAGGAGCTCCTGAGGCTGAATCTTCAGACCAGAGTAGTCAAAAGGTATCTGTCAATGATGTGAGCCTCACAGCTGTAACAGGACGTTAAGCTCACCACCAAGCCAATCTCTGTCTGTTTATATACATATAATATGTAATATATACGTTTTGAGAAACTCATGTCATATGTTTTCAAATTTTGTCATTCTGCGTTTGTTCAATGGTTAGTTTAATGAATAAGAGATGTATTTTCAGAGAAGTTCTTTTCAGATTCAGTGAGCTTTGTTGAAACTTGACCTATTCTTTAATAAGGTCAGATTTGTAGATTTAACTAACCTGGATGAAGAAACTGAACCTGAAGGAAGAGGAGAAAAACAAAAACGACCCTTGTTCTTGAGAAGCCACAATAGTATTTTTTCTTGGGAGAAAGAATTAAAACACAATTATTGGTTTTGTGTTTTGGGTTGCTTTGCTATATAGAAACAAACGTGGATACTGGCAAAGAATATTAGATCAATTTTGACTTTTCATGGATTCATTAACTACATAACAACCTTGAATTTTCTACACAAAATTATTCTGTAGCAGCCAAGAAATTTCCTTTTTGTGGTTTCTTTTGCAATCAGTACTTAATCAATATTGAAATTCATTGTATTAAACTTACATAGTCTTCTCTTCTTATAAGAAAAGAAGTAAAATATTTGGAAGTTGTTTTAACGACCTTGAATGTCGGTGAAGGTAACATCATTAACAGAAATACCGATTTTTTCCTTGAGACAAGCACCATTTTCGCCGCCTCTCCTCCTCGTGGAAGTAAACGCAGGATGCTTCGGATTCGGAAGATTAGTGGCGTTATGACCCAACATGATAACAACAGAGGACATGTCGACTCTATCCGAAGCGTTTTCTTGCACACAGAGCAACCCAATGTGTATGCACTTCATCACTTCGCTCTCATCATAACTCTCTTGGTCCATTAACTTGTCTATGATCTCTGTTGGTTCGCCGTTTTCCCATAGATCCCAAATCTACAAGACGAAGAAACATACATTTTACTTATGTTCTGTTTTGTTCCTCTGTTTATGTTAAAAAAATGCAGTTTTTTACTTACATGTCCGACTAAGTTAGATGATTCCTCGTGGAAAGCACTGTTTTTCTTTCCGGTTATGATCTCTAACATCAATACTCCAAAGCTGTAGACGTCGGTGTATACTCCGGTGCCATATATCCACTGCACAATGAGATTGAAACAACTTTAAGGTTGAAAGATTTTGGACAGTTTTGTGGTGATTAAGAAAGACTAACTCACAATGTTCCGACGACCCGACTTGTGCATCCTTCGATTTGGTTTCCCCCGAAGATTCTAGCCATGCCGAAATCCGAAATCTTAGGGATCATTTCACTGTCAAGAAGTATATTGCTGGCCTTGAGATCTCTGTGGATGATTCTCAGTTTTGAATCTTGATGAAGATATAAGATTCCACGAGCAATCCCGCGGATTATCTCCATCCGTTTTGGCCAATCCAACTCCGCTCTCTGCTCTTCATCTACAGGACGATAAGATGAAAAAAACAAAATCAAATTCAAAGTTGAATCTTCCTGAAAGGGAGAATTTGAACCTGTGTTGGAAATGTTGAACGTACGGAATATGAAATAGTCTAGGCTCTTGTTTGGTAAATACTCGTATATTAACATCTTCTCTTCCAATTCAACGCAACATCCTAAGATCCTCACTAGATTTCGATGCTGCAACTTTGATATCAACTTGACCTCGTTCTTGAACTCTTCCATTCCTTGCCCCGAGTTTTTCGACAACCTCTTCACCGCTATCTCCATACCGTTTTGTAACACGCCCTGAAAATATAGAAATAAAGGAAACATTCCTTATTACTTATTGAACTTGATGAAGATGGCGTTTCCCGGTTCCTTACCTTATAAACGGGTCCGAAACCACCTGCTCCAAGCTTGTTTTGGGAAGAGAAGTTATTCGCTGCTGCAGCGATCGTGTTAAGATCAAAGAAAGGTAACTCCCGGTTTCTCGCCTTGTCTTGCTCAAATCTGAATGATTCTTCAAAATCGAAAGGGACTGGGACGAAGTTTGCCGAAGAGCTTCTATGCCTGTTTGACTCTGCGGTTGAACATGTTTTCAGTGGTTAGCTGTGAGCTCAGAAAGCATCATATGAGCTTAAGAGATTCATCATCAGATATCTACTTACTTCGTCGCTCCCTTACGACACAGAACAAAATGACAGTTAGTAACATTACGGCTGCAACCAAACTGATAAGAATCAGAAGGACTCTCCTCTTCCCTGATAAGCCCTTTCTGTTCCACAGTGCTGAAACAAGCAAGCACATCGATATTTAAGTATTTTGAATTCCTCTACATTGACATGTTTCTTTATTCTCTTTGTTGCAGTGAAACAGAATGGTTGTTTTATTAAAAAAAAAAACAAGAAGAATAGGATTATATAGCGAAACCCATTTATATATGTACCTAACTTTTCCTTGTCTACACGTATGTAGAAATCTTGTCCGGAGCTCAAGTATGTCCTCGCATCCAACATACCACTGTGCCATGTCAAGCATCCTATTGCTCCTCTTTTACTCTCGTGGTAAGCACTTGCATAAGCAACACAAGAGCAGTTCCTCAAGCACCTCTGTTTGCACTCCTTAAATGTTATGTTCATATCCACACTTGCATCTGACGTGTCAGGAATCTTCATGCGCTTTAACTTCACAAACCCGTCTTTCTCACTGCATCTTGAAGCTCCTTTTTTCTTGGTACACCCGCCAGAAGAGTCCCTCAAGAACCAATGCCGGGGAAACTTGGGCTCAAAACCAGGTAGGCATGTGCACTCAAACGTTTTTGAGCTAGGGGGATCACAGTAACCGTTAGGGCCACAATGAGCGTAGTTATCGCACTGCTCTTTAGGAACTGACCAGAAATCATTCCATCTCTTGTCCCTCGCAATCCATGTGAACCGGTGCATGGTTCCAGTCTCGTTCACCATGGTTCTTGTTATGACTGAATCATCTGTCACACCGTAAGTGAAGGATACTTCGTCCTCATTATTCACAAACGAGTTATTGAAGATATACCCTATTGGCATTTCAGGCACACCGCTCCACCTATGCCCGGTCCACGACCCCATACGCCACCACGGGACTCGACCTTTGTACAGAATCAACTGCGGAAACCCTCTACGTTCCATCCGCAATGTTAAGTCTCCACAACCAGGGTCCCCATGAGATTTCCATGATGTCAGAAAGCGATCCAAACCGTCTTTTCGTGTGAAACCCATCCTCATAAACGGAAGAAAAGTGTCTGTAGGATGATCAAAGCTCTCCCAGAAACTTCTCCCTGTGACTGGATCAAGCAGAACAAGGTTGCCTAAATCAGAGAGTCTAGCAACTAAAGTTGTTTCCAAGATACTATCTGAAACATTAGTTGACCAGATAGGCTCTGTTCCATTGTCAGATGCATACACACAGAGATTGCATCTGTTACTGAACTTTATCAGACCAGAGGTGTCATTAATAGGATGGTCTCTGTTTGCAACCCATACAATAGTCTGTTGAGTGATTTGCGCATACCAAATCCCCACATACCGGAGCTTCGAATCCCCAAGACTGAAGAATCCAAATGCGAATCTCTTCCCTACAGAGTGTATGACATCACCATCTCTCAAGGACTGTCTTCTCATGATCGTATCAACAGAGATACAAGATTGAAAGAGGGAGAAAAAGAAGATAATGACGATAATCTTCATGTTTGTGTTTGTTTTCTGAGCAAGGAGTTAGTGAAAATGTATAAATGCTGTGTAAGTATTGAAAACCAAGTGGATCAGCCATTAATTGTGAGTCACGCCCCAGTTCCGGATATTTCTCAAAGGTTGGACTTTCAAAAAGATGTAAGAACTGATTCTTGTGACTTAAAAGTGTGAAACTAACTAAATGAACACCAACAATAATCATTAATTACGTACCAAAGTTGGAGAGTTTTGTTGGTATATATTGAGAAACTCCTATGATTACATATATACATTCTGTGTATGTGCAATGATTGGATTAAAGAGCAGGAAATGTATTCCAAACTACATGTTCTATCTTTATGTGACCTCATACAATAACAAGACCAGATTCTGACTTTTCAAGTTCTTATCCTATAGATTACTCTTACACATCATATATATAGATGTACAATTTAATCAATCTGTCATAAAAATTCTTTAGTAGTAGGTTTATCTCACTTACAGAGCTAACGTCCTGTTATTTTTGTGAGGCTCACATTGTTCATTGATGCTCTTGGGTCGCTTTGCCCTGAGGATTCAACTTCTGAAGTGCCCCTTCTAGGTATAAATGCGGGTTGCTTTGGCTCTGGAAGGTTTGAGTTCTCGCTACTTAGCATCCAAATCACTGTTGCAACGCTCGGTCTATCATTTGCGTGATCTTGTACACACAAGAGTCCTATGTGCACACATCTGCGTATTTCATTATCACAACACTCTTCAAAGATGACCGGATCCACGAGAGCAATATCTTCCCCGTCGTTCCAGAGTTTCCATGCCTGGTAAAAATAGAGAGATAAAGTTTCAAGAATGGTTTAAAAGCTTTGCTGAAAGAAAGGTCGTGATTCTAAAATGAGACTTACATAAGCCGAAAGATTTGGATACTGCTCATTATTGTAAAAGCTTGAGTTTCTTCTTCCACTCACAATCTCTAAAAGTATGACTCCTAAGCTGAAAACATCAGATTTCTCTGAGAACAACCCTCCCATTGCGTATTCAGGTGCCATATAACCGCTGTGATGTTATGTTTTGTCAGTTACATAATCAACAAACATCTAAAAATCAGAAAAAGCTGTGTAAGAGGTAGTTAGGGTGGCTACTTACTATGTTCCAACCACTCTTAGGGTGTTTGCTTCATCCTCATTCCCCTGGAAAATCCTAGCCAGCCCAAAATCGGATATCTTCGGGTTTAGATTCTCATCTAACAAGATATTGCTTGCTTTTAAATCTCGGTGTATGATCTTCAGCCTTGAATCTCTGTGAAGGTACATAAGACCTCTGCAAATCCCATCGATTATAGTAAACCGCGTCTTCCAGTCAAGAAGTCTTTGCTTCACCGGGTCTGGATTACACAGCAACAAGGTGCACAAACAAGACTAGCATTAGGTACTGTTCCTGTGCGTACTAAGACTGTAACAGAGTTAAACCAAAGATAAGTTCACTACCAAATAGATATGCGTCTAAACAATTCTCTGGCATGAACTCATAGACCAACATCCTCTCTTCTCCGTCAATGCAGAAACCAAGCAATCTCACGAGATTCCGGTGTTGCAACTTAGAGATCACGACCACTTCATTCACAAACTCCTCGACTCCTTGTCCCGATGTTCGCGAAAGCCTCTTCACAGCGATCTCTTGCCCTTCTTGTAACCTCCCCTGTAAATGAAAGTAGAGCCACTTAACACTCCATTGTCACTTTGAATTCCTCCTACCAATGAAACAAAGAATTGTTTAAAAACCTTGTAAACAGCACCAAATCCTCCTTGTCCGAGTTTGTTTGTTATAGAAAAATTGTCAGTCGCCACTGCTAACACTTGGAACTCGAAAAGTGGTAGCTCTTTAAGCTTGTATTGATTCACAAGGATTGCACCAACGTCACTACTACATAAAGCTTCCATTCTCTCATTCTGTAGCCTTGTGTTTCTGTTCTTCTCTGTTAAAAAAAGCAATGCAAAAAAGTTAATTATCTAATTACATAGAGAGATATCTCTTATATGGTTGAAATGTAACACTAACCTCTATGTTTAACGATCTTCCACAGTGCTAAGACAACAGTCACTGCAAACAAAAAAGCGCCTACTAGCAAAGTTACTGTGATCACAATTGATCGATTGGTCGGCGTTTCTACAAAAGATTTGGTGAAAAATCTATTATGATCTAGTAAACTGATGTTAGATGGAAAACTGAAGGTTGATACTACACTTACTGAACTCTGAATCTGCGAGACGAATGTAAAAAACCGCACCAGTGCCCGAAAACTCCTGCATATCCATCAAGTTTCCGCTCCAAAGAAGACAGCCAATCCCTCTGTCGAATGAGTAAGCCGTACAAGAACAGTTCTTCAGACAGTTCCCAGGACAGTCTTGTTCATTTGCTCCAGATCGTTGTGGATTGTGGGGCACTTTCATCTTTTGCACTCTCACAAATCTATCACTTTTTCTACTTCCATCGTTGTTGTCTCGTCTTTCGCACTGCAATGGCGCCTTTCTTACGCATCCCTGAGTCCAGTTTCCGTTCTTCCACTCCGCGTAACTCTGTGGCTTGAACCCTCTAATGCACATGCAAGGCGGAGTTGACCCGTAATTGAATTTGCAACTAGCGAATTGGCCACATGTGGCATATGTATCACACTTTGTCGATGGGACCTTTAACCAGGTCTTCCATTCTTGCATAGCCAAGTTCCAATCTCTTTGAAACACGCTTCCTTCGGAGTCCAAGAGAAAATGATACAGCAATGTATTTCCAGCATAGGACATGGAGACAGATCCTCGATTGTCACTACTAAGGGTTAACTCGAAAAGATTGATACGGTAATCCATATTTGGTAACCCGATGAAGTATTGACCATTCCACGGACCGCTACGCCACATCAGAAGATCATCTTTCCAGACGACAAGTTCTGGAAATGGCAGAGGAATCAAACCTGCAGAGTATCGTCCAGGCGATGGATCAGACGGGCTTTTCCAAGATCTTAGCTTAAGGCTCCTCCCTGTTTTCGCGTCAGTAGCAAGTCTCATTGTTGGCAAATAAATGTTTTGAGGATGCTCAAAGCTCTCCCAAATAATATCATCCCCACTGTTAGTAGTTCCTAGCAGCACAAGGTTCCCTGTATTCAGCAACCGGGCATAGGTGGTGTTAGCAGCCACCGGCACGGAGACATTGGTGGACCAGTGAACCTGACCGCGACCATCCATAACCACAAGATTCCCTTCCTTGGATATGGCAACCATTCCGGAAGAGTCATTGATCGGGCTGTTCCTGTTTGCTACCCAAACCACGGTTTGAACAGGAATGTTATTGAACCATATCCCTGCATAACGTCCAGTGGAGTTAACCGGGCTGAAGAAACCAAACCTGAAGGTGCTGTGGTTGGAGACGACAGTCTCAGAGTCCCTGTACTCGCTAGAAAACGTGATTGTATCAGTTGCCAAACAAAGCCTCAAGGAAAAGCAAGTCAAAGTAAGAAGAAGAATAAACAAACAACCCATCTTCTCAGGAAGTCTGAGAGAAACGCAGAGCTATATGGCTTGTATTAATCCAAAGACTTGAAATAACTTTATGTTATCTCAATGTTTGGTGGTTACATTTAATTGCCACTAGCAGAGGCACCACACTTGACTTTTCCGCTGAGGAATTATTGGAGTGTGTGATGGGCCCTTACGAGTTACGAGCATGTGTGACATGCAAGGAGTCACTATCAGAGCCAACTTCACATTTTGCAAAGGTAGAATCGAAATTGGAAACCGTTTTGAAGCCATGTCGCGACCTGTTGCGCAACAACAGACAACAGGAGCTCATGAAATCGACAAATGCAAACATGGATTTAGCGGGTAAATGTCTCTAACTCTTTAAAGTTGGGAATAGATAGTGAACGTTGATCACAGGAAGAAAGTTCGCTGCTTGAGAATAGGGAAAATGTGGTGAAAAAGTTAGTGATGCCTATATTTGAAACCCATCAGAGATGCTTTCTATGGGGCAAACTAAACTGCAGAGAGACAAAAGAGACCGTATAAACAGTGAAAATTTTAGAACCATTATCAGTTTTTCCTTCCAAAGATACAAACAAAGACACATCGGTAGCATTGATCTTATGAACTTTCACACAAGAAGAAAGTCAGAAACAGGACAAGACGAATGTAATGGTTCTGAAAGATGCAAGCGTAGCCATTTCAGGGTAAAGTGTATTTAATGTTCATTACTGAGACAAAAATTGGTCACCACATATACAAGCACACGCTCAGAAAAAAGAAAGCAAATCTCATGAGATGAACGGTGTAAGCCACACACAGCTGTTTTGAGAAACTCATGTGTATGTTCAATGATTTGGATTAAAGAGCAGGAAATGTATTTCAGAAAAGTTTGCTCACTTCCTATGATACAGTTTTGGGAATATAAAACACTATTGATTCCAAAACTGAAAGTTTACCTACTCTCAGATTATCTTTCTCATCGACTATAGATTTGATCAAATTAGTGAAGAAAAAACTAATCTGGGTAAAGAAACTGAAGGAGAAGGAGAAAAACAAAAACGCACATGTTCTCTATTTATGTGACCTCATACAATTATTGAAGTGATGAGAGAAAGATTGGAAGAACTGTATTTACTCTCATCACTTATAAACAACATAGATACATGTATATCTCTAATAACAATAACCTCACCAGTCCTATACCCTTAGATACAAATATACAACTTAATTACTGTATCAAAATTTTCTTTAGTATTATTAACTTATCTCAACTTACAGAGTTAACGTCCTGTGATTTCTGTGAAGCTCGCATTGTTGATGGATGCTCTTTGGTCACTTTGTGATTCAGCGTCTGGAGAGCCCCTTCTAGCTATAAATGCGGGTTGCTTTGGCTCGGGAAGGTTTGAATTTTCACTATTTAGCATCCAAATCACGGTTGACACGCTCGGTCTATCATTTGCATGATCTTGTACACACAACAGTCCTATGTGCACGCATCTGCGTATTTCATTTTCAAAACACTCGTCAAGGTTGACTGGATCCACAAGAGCGATAATTTCCCCATCGTTCCATAGTTTCCATGCCTAGTAAAAACAGAGAGGTAAAGTTTGAAGAATGTTTCAATAATTTTACAAGCTTTTGTAGAAGAACTGTCATGGTTTCTGATGAAGTGGACTTACATAAGCTGAAAGATTTAGATTCTGCTCATCATTGTAGAAGCTTGAGTTTTTTCTCCCACTCACAATCTCTAAGAGTATGACTCCTAAGCTGAAAACATCGGATTTCTCCGAGAATAACCCTCCCAGTGCGTATTCGGGTGCCATATAACCGCTGTGAGATTATGCTTTTGTCAGTTATATAATCAATAAACATCTAATAAAGTTCAGCGAAAATGCGTTGTACTAGTTAGTTAAGGTAGCTACTCACTATGTTCCAACCACTCTTAGGGTGCTTGCTTCATCTTCATTCCCCCGGAAAATTCTGGCGAGCCCAAAATCAGATATCTTCGGGTTTAGATTTTCATCTAACAAGATATTGCTGGCCTTTAGATCTCTATGTATGATCCTCAGTCTTGAATCTCTGTGAAGGTACATCAGACCTCTGCAAATCCCATCGATTATGTTAAGCCGCGTCTTCCAGTCAAGAAGTCTTTGCTTCACCGGGTCTGGTTTACACAGCAACGGGTACACAACGACGGCATTAGCCAACAAGGAAATTACGATGGAACAGAATTAAGCCAATGTTAAGCTACTACCAAATAGATATGCATCCAAAGAATTTCCTGGCATAAACTCATAGACCAGCATCCTTTCTTCTCCTTCAATGCAGAATCCAAGCAATCTGACGAGGTTCCGGTGTTGCAACTTAGAGATCACGACCACCTCATTCACAAACTCTTCGAGGCCTTGTCCAGACGTTCGTGAGAGCCTCTTCACAGCGATCTCTTGCCCTTCTCGTAATTTCCCCTGAAAACGAAAGTGAACCAATCCACATAACTCCAAGATCATTTTGTAACCACTCGTACCAATGAAGCAAATAATTGTTTACAAACCTTGTAAACGGAACCAAAGCCTCCTTCCCCGAGCTTGTTTGTGATAGCGAAATTTTCAGTTGCTGCAGCTAACATTTGATACTCGAACAATGGTAGCTCTTTAAGCTTGTTTTGATTCACACGTATTGCTCCAGACTCGTTATTATTTAAAGCTTCCATCCTTTCAAACAGTACCCTTGTGTTTCTGTTTTTCTCTGTTGAATTAATTGAAAAGCAATGCAAAAATAAGTTAAACCTTTTTCCAATCTCAAATATATATAGAGACATGATTAAATATAACTCTGACCTCTATGCTTTGCCAACTTTCGCAGTGCTAAGAGAACAATCACAGCGACAAAATATGTGAACCCTACCAACGTGATTGCGATCACAAGTGATCGATTGCTTGAGGATTCTATGAAAGATTTGGTGAGAAATCTATCTGAGTTATTATAGTTACACTTTTATGGAAATGGGGAAACTGTTACTTACTGAGCTCTGAACCTGCCAGCCGGATGTAAAGAGGAACGCCAGAGCCCACATACTCCTGCATATCGATCAAGTTTCCACTCCAAAGAAGACAACCCATTCCTTGGCCATAAAAGTAAGCCGTACAAGAACAGTTTTTCAGACAGCTCCCAGGACATTCTTGTTCGCTGACTTCAGATCGCTGTGGATTGTTGGGCACTTTCATCTTTTTCAATCTCAAAAACCCATCACCCTCTCTACTTCCATTACTGTCTCGTCTCTCACACTGCAACGGCCTCTTTCTTACGCATCCCTGAGTCCAGTTTCCTCTGTTCCACTCTGCATAACTCCGCGGGTCAAACCCTCTAATGCACTTGCAAGGTGGATCTAACCGGGATTGGCAACTGGCGAATTGGCCACATTTACCATATATATCACAATTTGATGGAAATAGTATCCCGGTCCTCCATTCTTGCTTAACTTCGCTCCAGTATTTCTCCACTGCATACCCGTCGGAGTCCAAGAAAAAATGATACAGCGAGTCATGATTAGTATATGACATGGAGACGGATCCTCGGTTGTCATTAGCTAGGGTAAACTCGTAAAGACTGACACCGAAATCCAATTCTGGTAGTCCAATAAAGTATTGACCATTCCACGGGCCGCTACGCCACACCATAAGATCATCTTTCCAGATGGCAAGCTCCGGAAATGGTAGAGAAATCATACCAGCAGAGTAGCGCCCAGGCGAAGGATCAGAACGGTTATTCCACGATCTAAGCTTAAGGCTCCTTCCCGTTCTTGCATCAGTAGAAAGTATCATTGTTGGCATGAATGCATTTTGAGGATGCTCGAAACTCTCCCACAGAATCTTATCCCCACTGTTTGAAATTCCTTGCAGTACGAGGTTCCCTGTATTCAGAAGCCTTGCATATGTGGTGTTAGCAGCTACTGGTTGTGAGACATTCGTGGACCAGTGAACATGTCCGCGACCGTCCTTAATCACGAGATTCCCGTCTTTGGCTATCACAATCACTCCAGAAGAGTCATTGATCGGGCTGTCTTTGTTTGCTACCCAAACCATGGAAGCCACTGCAGAAATTTTATTGAACCATATCCCTGCGTAGCGACTCGTGGAGTTAACTGGACTGAAAAAACCAAACCTGAAAGTGCTGCGATCGGAGACGAGCGTTTCCGAGTCCTTGAGCTCGGTAGAGAACGAGACAACATCCCCAGCCAAACATAATCTCAAAGAGAAGAAAGACAATGTAACAATAAGAAGGAAACGACCCATGTGTTATCAGGAAATTTCGTAGCTTATTTTTATCTGATAGAAACATCGAGCTTCATGTATTTGTATTTATATATCCAAAGAGTTGAAAAAAAATATTGACTTCAAGTCAATGTTCGGTAGTTTCAATTTCAACCGTAAGTACAGACAAGGCTGAAACTTGACTTTTAAACTATGAACATTACTGGAGTGTTAGAGAAGTTATGAATATTATTTGGAACCGTCAAAGACGTTTTTATATACAAGACCATTGAAATTCTTTTCACTGCTTTTTCAAAGACAAACAAAACACATTAAATCCACTCATCCCAAATTCCACAGAGTTTAAAACAAAAACCAAGAAACAAGACCATACTTACAACGAAGATCTAGAAGACCCCAAAAACAAAACAATTAAGCACGCTCAAGAACACAAACCAAGGGCATAGGAACGCTTTGTTTTCCTTCTATGTCTCCTTAGGGAGGTCTCCTTCTGCAACATGGAAGATGGCGCAAGATCAGTGATCACAGATACGACATCATTGATTGATCCAGACATCACTAACAGCAAATCTCTTGCATATCAATAGATGCATCTGTAGGTTATTGGTCATTAACATCAAGGGATTACAGAATCCAACTAAAGCAATGATATGCGCAAATAATCAAAACATACAAACCTCAATCATCAGGAATAACACAGCATCTTAGTGAATCTTCCTTTGTGTCTCATCTATAGCTATTTGACCTTTAATACAACTAAAGCAATGATATCCGCAAATAATCAAACATACACATCTCAATCATCACAGCATCTTAGTGAATCTTCCTAGCATTCAATCATACTAGCTGAGAAAGATGACCCCAAACAAATTTCCTTATACAAAACTTCAGATTGAAGATAGGATAAAGGTCAAATCTTAATGTGAATACAGTGTTACTGATGCCTATATATGTCACCTTCTTCAATGACGACACATTTCTATACTCTAAAGCCAAAGAGAAATTTCTATACTCTAAAGCCAAAGAGAAACGTATTCCTAAGTAGATTGAAATTGACCTGCATTCAAAGTCAACCTTGATGCTGCTGCTGCTTATCCGAAGCATCATGGTACTCATCTTTGTCTCCCTCTTCCTCAGCCAACTCAGGCACTGTATGAAGTTTATCACTTTCCACCAGATTCTCCCCACCACTTTCGCCAGATTTCTCATCTTCTCCATCCTTATCATCAGGAAATCTAACAACAACCACCGGACAAGCACAATGATGAACTGAGTAATCACTGACACTCCCTAACCTCCCTTTGCTGCTCCTCTTCGTAGCACCAAATCCTCTACTACCCATAATCAAAGTGCTTAGCCCTAACCTCTCCACCTCCAAACAAAGCCTCTCCTTCATATCGTGATCCTTCACAATATGGATCTTAAACGGAATATCCGCCTCAACCAAAGGCTGAGCAACGTCACTCGCTTTCTTATTAGTGAAAATGTCGAAATCGTCCTCAAGCTTCCTCTGAGACTCTTCGTTCTCCGGATCCCACTGCGGCGACAAGTCAATGGCGCCCCAATCGGCACCGTAAAGTACACTTGTCGGTTGAACATGGAGGAGAACGACGGCGTCACCTGATCGGAGATAGTTCTGAACAGCCCATTGAACAGCGTAGGCACTCTCGTCGCTTAGATCGACAGCGATCCCGATCTTACGTTGAGCTCCAGCAGTAGGTGTGCCGATCGGGAATCTGGGAGACGACGGCTGCACGGTGACAACCGTCGGTGATTTGCGGTCGGATCTCGGAGATTTTCCCGGAGAAGTCATATTTTCTCAGGCGATGAAAGAGTCAAAAGGAATGAGACGGTGGAGAAAAGAACAAAGAGACGAAATGGAATTAGTACGGTACGGTGTAGAGAGAGATTAACAGCGACACTTCTATGTCTTTTGTTATGAGCCGTTCGATGGATGGGTTTAAGATCTAACGGCTGTAAAAGTGCTCGTAGATCTCTATTAAATACTCCCTCCGTTTTCGAATAGTTGTCGTTTTAGAGCTTTTTTCTTGTTTTAAATTAGTTGTCGTTTTAAGGTAATAATGTAATTTATGCCAATAACTACCCAAATTACCCTCATTTTATTGAACACAAATTATTTGTAAATAATTACTTGTCATTTTTATGAGGTTAATATAGTCATTGTATACCTTTTCTTAATTTGTCCAAATACAGTTAAAACGACAACTTTTAAAAAACAGAGGGAGTAATACTTATCGGAAACACCTGAGAATTCGGTCAAAAATTCCCCAATTTCTTTTGGGTTACTATTTACTATTTTTTTCTGTATGTAGTTTTATAACTATTTAAATCGATTGTTGATAAAAAAAAATTTATTTAAATCGATTGCATTAATATCTTTTAAAAAGTAATTTATGATTGTTTGCTTAAATTTAGTCTAAGTTTTATAAATTACTTAAACAGAGTAATTTATAAGTGTACAAATGTGTTATTTTATCAATAATTTTTTAGTTTTTATACATAAAAATTATTTGATCTATGGAGGATGTCAAAAATTTTGCTTCGAAATTCTAATGAACATAAAATTCTTAAAAACTATTCCTTGTTCCATGACTAGTATAATTTCCTAGATAAAAAAAAAATACTAATAATAATAATTTCTTAGATCTTGTATTACATTTTCTTGGATTTTTAAAACTAAATTAGTTGAACTAGACTTATTACAATAGTTGATGCATTGTAATAACAAAATACTAGAAGGGAAGATGGAAAACCACATGAAAATTGAAAAACTTTTATTATAATTTCTTACCAAAGATTATTTTTTAAAATGTTTACAAACAAACTGAAACTCTTCACATGAAAATATAAGAGTTATGATATGCCTCTCATATTATCTCTTTCACCTATTGTATAAACACACACATAAATATATTTTGCTTATGTTTTGCTTATATTTTACATTTGTTTTGCTCATTTTTTTCAATTGCTTTATATTAGAAAAAAACAATAAGATGTTATGCAAACATAAACTAATGCTAGATCGAGGAATTTTGATAAACCGATCCTAACGATCATCAATTCCATCTAGTTTTATCCGGTTAATAAAAGAGAAAAATGACTTACCAAGTGTTGCGGAGTATAAAGTCTTGACACCATCCACAAAATTCAAATCGCAGCTAAGGACTGTCGAGTCTCTACCGTCGCCAATGATGGTTAAGTCTTTTTTCTTCTTCTTGATACGTATAACTTCTTTGTATACCCTTTTTGACGTAGATCACAAATCGTTTCGCATTATTCTCTGGAGCTGATGCAATCGCTTCATTCACCGTGGTGAAGTTACTGCTGCCATCCTTGGCAACAATCAAGTCCGCTTAGTAAATTAGAGGACGTTGGTAAATTCTATAAGATGTATATATATTGAAAGTTCTAATTTATATATATATTCAAAATAAAACTTTTTTTGTTCAATAAGCTTAAATCGTAACACAAACAAAGTAAATATTTTTCTAATAATTAACATGATCGGGGGTGGAGATCAAATTTGCTGGATCCACCCTAGCCCCAACACGATTGTGAGACGAAGGCTATTACGAGAAAATTTCTAATTGACTAAAGAAAAATTTAGATTATGTAAAGGGCCTTTTACAAAAGGTAACCTACATTTTGGATGAATTTTGTAAAATAAATTTCGTTCTCAAATTTTTGTTGTTCTCCATTTTACTCTTTCTGTTATTAAATTTTTTGTGTTTATTTCATCGATAATGTTTGATTTTGTTTTTTGTTGATAGATCCCCCAATCTAGAGCTTTTATAGAAAACCACAATGCCCATTTTGCTCAAAAGAAGCAAGAGAAGGATGAAGAAGAAGAGAAGCTAACATTGCAAAAGGCGAGAGAGCTCGATGAGTTTGATCAGCAAAATCATGGGAAGCCAACGATTCAACTCCATCTCAATATCTTTTTATTTCGTTACCAAATCTAACAAAACGTCTTAAAACGGAAAACAGTATTAATGGAGGTAGTGCGCCTATATAACTCATACTAATTGCTAAATTAACAACTTACTTATAAATTAAGATGCAATTTAAACAATATAGTCAGCCTTAAATTAGCCAATTCCTCCTTCTTTAGAAACGTTATTAATTCGGTATTTTGATTCACACCTCTTACCATATTTACATGTGACAATTAAAAATAAAACTTTGCTTTTTGTGTCACATTATCAAAAATTATAAAATCTAAATTTAAGAATGATTGTATAATTGAGCATATTGGATAAGAATAAACATCAATCACTCGCTCCACTAGACCAAATATCTTACGTGGCAACAGCTGTACCGTTAATAATGACAGTTTTTAGCTGGGTTTATGAATAATTAATTACCCGCCAAATCACTAACGCTTTAAAAAAAACAACTTTAAGAAAATAAATAAATAAAAAGAGTATCAAAAGGCGTTCACCAAAAAAGGTACAAATCCTTTGGGAGAAGATATCAAAGAGAAAACCCCTAAATAAATCTCTCTTTTTTCATCAATGGCGGATTTGGATAAACTCGAGAGTGGAGGAGGAGGAGGAGGAGCCGTTGAAATCGGTGATATTAGAGCAGACGACGGCGGCGGAGCGGTGGAAGAGAGGGAGAGGCTAACGGAACTGGAAGGAATTTCTGTGCTGGATTTCGATTTGCTTTGCTCGACGGTTGCGCTTCAGACTCAGGGGAAATGGAGGAAACTTGAAAGCTCGGAAGGAGAAGATGCGACGGAGGATGATTATGGCGGCGGCGTTTTACGGCTTTGGGAAGGCGATGTTATGGATTGCTTTGAAGATCGTCATCTTTGTATCGAATCTGCTTGGTATTGGGGTTTTCTCTTCTCTTATCATTCTTTAATTCAAAAAACATTCTTTTTTATTTTCTCCAGAAATTGGAATTCTGGGGTTTTATTTACCTTGATTTGTGTTGACATTGTTTGATTAGCTCATTGTTATAAGTCAAATTAAGGTCAAATGTCTCAGAATATGATAGAGGAAAACATTTGGTGCATAATGGGTCTATCATTTACTGTAATTAGAGTAACTGAGTTCTTTATCATTCCTTGAGTGATTATAAAGCAAGAGACTTTTTTGTATAGTAATGTTTTTTTATCTTGTTTCAGCTGTCCATGCTACAGATTCGGGAAAAACATGACAAGGACTGGTTTTGGTTCTTGCTTTCTTCAGGTATAACATCCTATAAAAAAACCTTTAGCATTTTTGATAATATAGTTGATCTCTGATCCTTTTGAATTGCAATTATTGAAAGATCCTGACTTTCTGTGTATTGACTTCTCCTTCTCTTGACCAATTTTGTATGTGTTAGGGTGCTGTTCATATGATTCTTATTGCTGGTTTCTTATTCAACGTTGCTGCTTTTGCTGTAACTAAGAGGCACTGCTTTCTCTATCTGGCTATCGCTTTCGTTCTTTTGATTGGATCCTACTTGGGTTTCTTCCGTATGCAGATAAGAAGGAAGTTTAACATTAGAGTAAGCACATTCCTTCTCTTTGTTTGTTTTCTATGGAGTGTTTTAAAAATGTTATTTGTCCTCTTTTCTGCATCATGAGTCTTAACCTCTCGATACTCTTGCTTTTGACAGGGTACTGATAGTTTCTTGGACGATTGCATCCACCATCTCATCTGTCCATTCTGTACATTAACTCAGGTGTGTGTATTATTCACAGATCATTCTCTTGAAAACAAGTTGTATCCATTATGTCCTTATGGTTCAACTTGCTTGTAATGTGATGCAGGAATCGAAAACTCTGGAGATGAACAATGTTCATGACGGTATCTGGCATGGTCGAGGAGACACTCTATGCATAGGCGGCTATCCCGAAGGAAAAGCTTTTCTCAAGTTGCATTCGCCTCCAGTTATTGTATCAACAATGTCATCATCTCAACCCTAACAACACACAACAGAGTTCCTTTATAGAAACCGCAGCCTAGGTCTGTGCTTCCATAGCAAATTTGCATTGATCTCAACATCGGCTTATGGCGATTGATTTGCTCAACAGTGTAAACAGATTCATGTCAAAAGAAAACTTTCATGTTTGTTTTCAAAACTGTGGTATATAGCAAACATGGAAGTTTGATGAAAAAGTCCTGTTAAGGTTTTAAAAAGGAGAAAAGCTGATAGGCCATTTGTATGTTAGTAGTGAATCAGTCCAAGTTATGTATATACAGCCACCTAAATGTATGATAATGCAATTGATGATCACATACAAACGTTGTGATTTACAAGACAAAGAAGATTTGGGTCATTCCATAATCCATCTTCATCTTGTGGAGTTTCTAAGTATTGAAATACAAGAGATCATGCTTGTTGATCGACCAGTAGAAATCAGAAACTGCAAAATAAAAATGAATAGAACAGAAACAATGTATTTTGTGTGGCATTTTGGTCTTGTTGGGTTCTGTTCTTTTGACAAAATAAAAAAAGAAAAGCCAAAAGGGAAAAAAGGAGGCAATTAGACATACAGAGACATTCATGGATGTAAACACTTTATTCATATCCTCTGGGCCATTCTCAGGCAGTCTTTTTTCATTGTTTTGTTCACTGTTCTTTGGTTCAGAGAATAAACAGGCGGTTTATAACGGAAACCAACCGCGTAAATACAATCTATGTAGTTAGAATGAACCAAAATCCATGACAATAAAAAGCAAAAGACAAAAGAATGAAAAATAAACAAGAGGATCACAAGAACATGTACTTTCTTTCTATGTTCTCTCATCTAAGATGTGTAAATTGTTTCGACTCCTATGATGATAACAAACAAAATTTCAAAAAGATGGGACCTTTCTTCTCCTACGGCGCCATCAGACCATCCACCGTGTAAGAAAGAGACTTAGCCCAGTCGGTTTTCAACACCATTGTTTGCAACGTGTGCATCACATCATATCCTGGGTCAAGTTTCCGCTGCCAACCCTATAATCAAACCGATTACTTAGATCGAAAGCAAACTTAATCTCTCTGGAGTTATAAACAGTAATTGGATCAAACGAGGCTATAGATACCATGTTTTAAGCTACAAACAGTTTCAACGGCAACATCTTTAAGCTCTGTTTCTATAATAAGCTTAGTTTTCGGTTCCATGCTCTTTAGGGATGTATTTCAAAACCTTCCATCAAACTTAGCATGATCTAAAATCTATACTAAAATTTGAAAGTGGGGACGATTTTGGCTCACCTCGAGAACTAATGTTGTCACCATCACAGTGCACACATTCCCATCAATATTAACTCTATGACGTCTTACTTTCTCAAGTAATTCGTGCATACAATCTGCTGGATGTACTAAATCTCCCTCAGGGGTTCCCCAGAATTTGAATGCCTCCTCTACTTCCTGTCAGAGTATAAAGTATTAGCCATCACAAAATAAAGAATTTTGAGAGATATCTTCAATCTATTTGACAACTCAAACTGTTTTTCCGAGGTACAACGAACCTTGGAGCAAAGATATTATTACCTCGATAAAAGCCTCTGGATTGGGACAATTCTGCTTTCTTGATAATTTAAGTGTTCGTTCAGCAGCAGTCCGGCCATCTCTACGCGCAACCGCCTTGAAAAAATCAAGTAAGTTCTCTCGGTCGTTCTTTGAGAGTTCCGCAGTCATTCCCACATCAAGGAAAACAATGTGAGGCTTCTTCGTTTTGAAAAGGCCTCCACCGGAAGCCTTTTTCCGGACAAGGATATTTCCCGGATGCATGTCAGCGTGAATAAAGTTATCAACCTGAAGTAACAATTCACTTGAGATTAAGAGCATTGATGAAGCGTGTATCAGTTATAAGTGATCATAAAAGATATAAAGAGGTTAATACCAAGAGCATCTTCAAGAGGGCATGGGTCCCGATATGAGCCAATCTAGTCTTAATCCATTCATGTCCTTCCATTCCATCAACATAACGTGCCACGCTTTCTCCGTGCTCATATGTCTCCACCAAAACAGCAGGATGTACAAGCGGATACACAGGTTTAGGGAAAGAGACATCCTTCCATCTACGGAAGTTATATATGAACCGACTCAAATGTGAAGCTTCCCTCGCGAGATCAACTTGAGACAACATGAAGACACCAAACTGTTGCACACTCTCGTCCAATCTTAGCCATTTCAAAGCTGGAATTAAAGTCGATATTTTTGCCACCAAATTAATTATCACAAAATCTCTCCTAATAGATTCACCAACACCGGGATGCCTAACTTTAACAGCAACCAACGAAGACTTGGACTTTTGTCCTGGATACTGAAACCTTAAAGAAGCTCTATGTACTTGGGCAATACTCCCTGATGCCACTGGCACCTCTTCAAACTCCTCAAATATCTCAGAGAGTTTACGACCAAATGCCTTCTCGATAGTTTTCTTAGTGTAGGCAAAGCTATGCTCAGGAGCATTACTGTGAAGCTTTGAGAGCTGTAAACACAAATCCTTGGGGAATAGATCTGGTCGTGTGGCTGCCCATTGACCCCATTTGATAAAAGCAGGACCTGCTCTTTCCAGAGTTCGATGGACCATCTGAAGCCAAATTTTCCTAAAACGAGGCCCACATGATTCCACAACCAGCCCCATCAGAATACTAGGAGTAAACAAACAAGCTATATAAAAAGCCCTCCCAATCAAAATAAAACCCTCTATAACCGAAAACAATAACGAAGACAGAAAGATAGGACCATTCTTCGCCCTTGTATAAAGGGATTTATCTGAAGCATAGTGATTTATCCCCGAACCAGGAGCTCTTTGAGCCCAAGCTACTTGTCCACAAGTGAGAGCAACGATCCCAGGTATTAACAAGTGTGAACGGGTAAGAGACAAGCTGAACGCCTGAGCCATAGTACTTATACGCTCAGAATACTTATAATGAAGCCTTTTCCAAGCAACTTGGGCATGATGACTAACTACATTTCTTGCAGGGACAGTAGAATAACTTCGTGACAGATGCTTACTCAAAAAACTTCCTTTAAGATCTCTAAAGGCCAATATACAATACCCATTACTCGGAACCCTACCAGATGAAGAGTAAGTTCTGAATTGCGGCGACCTTAGAGCAGCTGTAAAAGCAGTTCTATAGCTTCCCCATTGGGACACTCTCTCTTTCTGGTTCGACAATAGAGATTGCGTTTGTTTTCCAACAATCCTAGAGATCAGAAATCTGCAATAGCAAGAAATAATCAGCTAAGAGAGCCTAAAGAAGGATCTGATCAACATTAAGAGATATGAACCATAGAAACTCGTAAAAATCGAAACTTTACACATAAATTGAGCTAAAAACTTACAAAAAGAATCATAAATGAGTCTCCGAGGAAATGGGAAACAAAAATCCGATCAGAAATGATGACAGACCCAATAAAATACGAAACTTGTTAAGCCCGTTTGATTAACAAACCTTGACATAGCGACGAAGATGGTGAGAAACCACGGCAAGAAAATGCGAAAACACGGCTCGTTGGGTATGGATGGATCTCTAAAACGTTAAAATTGAAGAGCATTTTCTCATTGACTTGAGCTTTTGGAGACTAGTCGGTCACCGTTTACCGTCCGGCGTTAATTGGGTTCGAAGCTTTCTTCCCGGAGAAGACCTACAGCCGACAAGGAGGAAGAGAGAGATCAGGTCAGGTCAGTGATTTCGTTCGGAGAAAGAGAGAGAGACAGGCCCAGAAAAAGGAAATTGATATCTCTCTCTCGTGGGCTTAACGCTAAAATGTTTTGATTTAGTCGACGTGTGACATTGTCAAACCAAGGAATGATGTGAACACAAAAGCCTTAAGGTCGGTCTAAAAGACAACTTGTCGTCACATTAAATTTTTCATTCCTAAGTTTTTATTTTGTCTCCTAAGGAAGGAATAGGATTAAGGTGTCTAAAATTGAAATTGATTTGTATAAGAAAAGCCATACTGTATTTTTTAACTTAAAAGTATAAGTTTTTTTTTTTTTTTTTTTTTGTCTCCCTAAGTATTATTAACGTGTCTAATTTTGATTTTGATTGGTCCATACCTTTTTTATTTTATACTTTTTTTTTCCATCTCCTTTTTTATTTTAGACTTGACGAGAAAAATACGAATATACGAACATTGTTAAACACTTAAACCACATTAACCTGTCTCGATCCATCACGGTCGACATAACCTCTTTCTTCTTCCAATATAACTGGTTTCGTTTCACCGGATTTGGGCTCTCCGGCGACGGAGAATAGCTCCATCTCCAAAGGTCAGCTTCCTTTTTTTCTCTTTCTTCTTTGTCTCTCGATGATTGACCTAGGTGTTGTATGGAACTCTGGCCGCCGGGAAAAGATAGGTTAACTAAATTTGTTCTGTTTTATCGGCTTTTGTTAATAGAAAGGAGACGAATTAGAGGAATTTGAATTGACCTTTTAAGGGTTATGAAAATTGGAACTGGAAAGTTTTTTTTGGTTATGTATGGTTTTTAGGATCTGTTATGAAGATTTCGCTTGTGAGGTTATTAAATGCAGCCAAAGGAATTCTATCACCAAAGGTTTATACTTTGATGATATAATACAGAAAAAAAAAAGTTTGGGACTTTGTACTCGTGTTGTTAGAGAAGATCAAAGTTAGTGTTGAACTATTAAACTGAGTAATTGGCCTTTCTTGATTACTTTGCTACTGAATTGTGTTTTCATTAGAATATCTGTTATAACTTGTTTTCTTACTGTTGATACACGAGCTTACAAGTTTCAAGGTTTAGACTTTAGACAGCTTAAATGTGTGAACTAAACTGTTGTGCATTTAGCTTCTTCAACAAACTATTGTAACTCACTGTTAAACCAAAACTAGATTCGTTTTCTGTCGAACCCTGCAAATTTGATACAGAAAACAGTAGACATAGCTGAGAAACAAGAGAAGTGACAAGGGTGATTGAAAACTTGAAGGACTCAGATGGGAAGCAACAACAAAAGTGGAGAACAAGGAAAGCAAATGGCAGATCTGAGCAAAAGTCTTAAAGAAGGTGAGAGGATTCTGGAGCCCACACGTAGACCTGATGGTACCCTCCGGAAACCCATCCGGATCCGAGCTGGATATGTTCCACAAGATGAAGTTGTCAAATATCAGTCCAAAGGTTCTCTGGTATGGAGTCCTTATTCCATCAACACTGTATTCGGTTCTTCGACTCATTGTTTCTTGTGGAAATGAATCGTGGAAATTTGATTTATCTCAGTACTGGTTGTGGATAGCGTGCTTTCATTATTTGTGTCCTTTGTTAGAGTGCTCAAGACAAATTGTTTCCAAATTTTTACCCTTGTGTCTTGGTTTGAAGAAAAGCAAAAAAGGAAGATAGAACATTTTTTATTTCTAATTTGCATTGAACTTGTAATAGATGAAGAAGGAGATGGCCTCACAAGGGCCTCCTGGTTATGAACCTGATCCAGCTCCGAAACCAAAGACTAAATCTGCTAAGAGGAACGAACGTAAAAAAGAGAAGAGATTACAGGTATGTGTTTCAACTCAATTCATATGCTACTAGCTTGGTCTTCGGTTATTGGAACATGCTTTTAAATTATCACCTTTGCAGTCTACTGCCGAAAAAGGTAACAGTTCTGAGGATGGATCAGCTAGTAATGGATCCCAATCGGTGAATGTATTGGCTTCTGAAATGGAGGCTTTGGACGTTTCTTCAAATAATGATGTATGTGGAGAAGCGCCCAATCCAGTAACTACAGGAGAAGACGTAGAGAAAAGAATCCGCGCACTTAAGAAGAAAGTAAGATTTCCAAATGGTTTTCAATCAATTTTCTTCAATTTACAGCAAAATTGTTTTTATTTGAGGTTGATGCAGAAATCTGCAGTCTAGTGGTTGTGTAATTGTCTCATTCTGTTAACATTTGCAGATCCGACTCACAGAAGCTCAACAGCAGAAGACTGCTTCCCAAGACCTAAACCCGGAGCAGTTAGAGAAATTCTCTAAGTTGGAAGAATGGAGGCAAGAACTCAAGGCTCTAGAGGATAAGGAGGCTTGACTTGCTGCAGCATCAACATGAATGGTCTAACTTTTAGACAGGCTGCAGTTTCTCTCATGAAATTTCTGGAACCAATCCAAATTTGTATCAATGAAAAGAAAGCTGTTGTTACTTCTTAGGTTTCGTCAGATCTGATTAATGAACTTGGCGCAATGCCTGAATCCTCTTGGGAATTGATGTCACATTGTGTTTGCGATTGGTCCTAATCTAAAGAACGTGATTCCAAACAGATGATATAACTGTAAAGTTGTTGTAGCAAATATCACTCGATCAATCACTCACTTCTATCTGCATACATGTAGCAAACATCACTCGATCAAGATGGACTGAAAAGGCGTAGAGTTCGATCCTAAAGCTTTTGTGAGTTTTTGTAGACACAACGACATAGGTACATATACATACACATGTAGGCATATCTAAGAGAACATCTCTACCATTAAAGTACATCTCAAAACAGACCTTAAAGTGTTAACCATTTGTATGCTTCCTGTTTCAGGTTTATTTCATAAACATGCTTTATCTGGAAAGAGGAAACACCATGGTGTTATACTTGATTATGGATACCGTTTCTGCATTTTGCTAATTGGAGGTTGCACTTACTGGCTTTAATTACCAGTCATTATCAACTTTATAGTCACCTGCTATGATATGGTAAGTGTCTCTAGGTCGAATAGTTAATATATATCTAGGAGTAGTGGTTAAAATGTCACATAGAGTCAATGATTATAAATCTTTCTGCATTATGCTTATTGGAGGTTGCTTTTACTGATTTTAATTACCAGTCATTATCAACTTTATTTTCACCTGCTATGGGATGGTAACTGTTTCTATGTGCAATAGTTGATCTTAAAGTGACTATTGTGTATAAAAGAGGTCTTTATATATCATAAGTTGCTTGTCATCTAATACATAAGTACCTATTTATTATTGTGGTGGCGTGGACCAATTTCCTGCAGAGTAAAAGAGGAATGATTAAATGGACAAGGAAGAAAGGTTTCACACTGTTGGTACCCTTATTAGTTCGTGTCATGTTCTAAGTCACATGAATCATTTTTCTTACAACTTTTGAAAGTTCAACCTTTGAGAAAAATCCGGAACAGGTTGTGACTGATTTCGATGTCAGTAGTTAATGTTGTTAGTTGAGGTAAGCCCCACTTGGCTTTTAACAAGAAACATCATTTATATGTTTCATCAAACTTCGATCAGAAACAAAACAAAGAATGAAGTTCTTCTTTATCTTTTTCATTTTCTTATTTTCCCTCTTGATTCAATCTTGTTACTCTGACAACACAATCTTGAGAAGACAGTCTTTGAAAGATGGTGATGTTATATTCTCTGAAGGAAAAAGATTTGCTTTTGGATTCTTCAGCTTGGGGAATTCAAAGCTCAGGTATGTTGGGATTTGGTATGCTCAAGTCTCTGAACAGACTGTTGTATGGGTTGCAAATAGAGACCATCCTATTAATGACACATCTGGTCTGATAAAGTTCAGTACCAGAGGGAATCTTTGTGTGTATGCATCTGGAAATGGAACAGAGCCTATTTGGTCTACTGATGTTATTGATATGATCCAAGAACCGGCTTTAGTTGCGAAGCTAACTGATTTAGGCAACCTTGTTCTGCTTGATCCTGTCACTGGGAAAAGTTTTTGGGAGAGCTTTAATCATCCTACAAACACTTTGCTTCCTTTTATGAAGTTAGGATTCACTCGTCAAAACGGTGTGGATCGTATTATGACATCTTGGAGATCTCCTGGTGACCCGGGTTCTGGAAACATTACATACCGGATAGAACGTAGAGGGTTTCCGCAGATGATGATGTACAAGGGTCTGACTCTTTGGTGGCGTACTGGCTCATGGACAGGGCAAAGATGGAGTGGTGTGCCTGAAATGACAAACAAGTTTATCTTCAATATCTCCTTTGTGAGTAATCCAGATGAAGTATCAATCACTTACGGAGTGTTTGATGCTTCGGTTATAACACGAATGGTGCTAAACGAGACGGGAACTCTGCAACGGTTCCGCTGGAACGGGAGAGATAAGAAATGGATCGGGTTCTGGTCAGCTCCCGAAGATAAGTGTGACATCTACAACCACTGTGGCTTTAATGGTTACTGTGATCCTACCAGTACAGACAAGTTTGAGTGCTCTTGCTTACCGGGGTACGAGCCTAAGACACCCCGAGATTGGTTCTTGAGAGACGCTTCGGATGGTTGCACGAGGATAAAAGCAGCTTCAATATGTAATGGTAAAGAAGGGTTTGCAAAGTTGAAGCGAGTGAAGATTCCCAATACATCAGCTGTTAATGTAGATATGAACATAACATTGAAGGAATGCGAACAGAGGTGCTTGAAGAACTGCTCTTGTGTCGCTTATGCGAGTGCTTACCATGAGAGTGAAAACGGAGCAAAAGGGTGCTTGACATGGCACGGCAATATGCTGGATACAAGGACATACTTGAGCTCGGGACAAGATTTCTACCTACGCGTAGATAAGTCAGAGTTAGGTACTAATACTCTGCAACTTGTTCTGTTTCATTGCAACAAAGGAGATAAAAGAGATGCGTCAATGCAGAGGAATTCCAAGTAATTTTGATTTTTTTGCTTCTTTCAGTGCGGTGGAATGGAAATGGCTCATCAGGGAAGATGAGACTTTTTTTAATTCTCATCAGTTTGCTTGCAGTCGTCATGTTACTTATGATCAGTTTGTTCTGTTTCATAAGGAAACGAAGACGTAAGAAATTCTCTGATGATGATTGTATGTTTGCTTGCTTAGATCACAGCTAACAAATTGAAAACTTGCACAAGTGCAGAGTTTAAAAGGCTGAGAAAAGCTCCATCAAGCTTCGCTCCGTGCTCTTTTGATCTTGAAGACTCATTCATACTTGAAGAGCTTGAGGACAAATCAAGAACCCGGGAGTTGCCTCTCTTTGAGCTTAGCACGATTGCTGCAGCAACGAATAACTTCGCTTTTCAAAACAAGCTTGGAGCAGGTGGTTTTGGACCTGTTTATAAGGTATGGAAGAAGCAAAAACCATCTTCACATATGCCTAAAATATATATGTGCAAAATCTTTATCAATGCTTCTCCCGAAAGAGCAATCTTTAGATTCAATAGGTAACAGGTAATGTTTCCTTTGTTACTATTCAGGGAGTGTTACAAAATGGTATGGAAATAGCAGTGAAGAGGTTGTCAAAAAGCTCAGGGCAAGGAATGGAAGAGTTCAAGAACGAGGTCAAGTTGATATCGAAGTTGCAGCATCGAAATCTCGTGAGGATCTTAGGATGTTGTGTTGAATTTGAAGAGAAGATGCTGGTATACGAGTATTTACCAAACAAGAGCCTAGACTATTTCATATTCAGTACGACTCCCTCTACAGATTCAAGTCTTCCCATTCAGGACGATCAGTGACTTTGAATTTGATTTCCTGTTTCCTTTTTCTCCTTTTTGTCCTCTTAGATGACGAGCATAGAGTTGAGTTGGATTGGCCAAAACGAATGGGAATAATCCGCGGGATTGCGCGTGGAATCTTATATCTTCATCAAGATTCAAGGCTGAGGATCATCCACAGAGACCTCAAGGCCAGCAATGTACTTCTCGACAATGAAATGATACCGAAGATTGCGGATTTCGGCCTGGCTAGAATCTTTGGGGGCAACCAAATAGAAGGGAGCACAAATCGAGTCGTTGGAACATAGTGAGTTAGTCTATATCAATCCCCACAAAACTCTCAAATTTCCTTTTGTCAATCTTTATGGTCGTTTCAATCTCACTGTCACAGCGGATACATGTCACCAGAGTATGCAATGGACGGCCAGTTCTCTATTAAATCCGATGTCTACAGCTTTGGAGTATTGATCTTAGAGATCATAACCGGAAAGAAAAACAGTGCTTTCTATGAAGAATCTTTGAATCTAGTCAAACATGTAAGTAAAAACTTCTTCCTTTATTTTTCACATAACTTGGGGCTGGAAAAAAAACAGAGGAACAAAACAGAACATATAAGCAAATGTTTGTTTCTTCGTCTTGTAGATTTGGGATCGATGGGAAAAAGGTGAAGCTATAGAGATCATAGACAAATTAATGAGTGAAGATACTTATGATGTGAGCGAAGTGATGAAGTGCTTACACATTGGGTTGCTTTGCGTGCAAGAAAACGCTTCAGACAGACCAGACATGTCCTCTGTTGTCTTCATGCTAGGTCATAACGCCATTGATCTTCCATCTCCGAAGCATCCTGCGTTTACGGCGGGAAGGAGGAGAAACGTCAAAACTGGCGGCAGCTCAGATAATTGGCCCAGCGGAGAAACCGGCAGTACTATTAACGACGTTACCCTCACTGATGTTCAAGGTCGTTAAGAAGTGTTTTCCTCTTCTTTATAAACTAAGAAGCCTATAGGTATCAATTTATAGCAATACTTGTTATATAGAAAATTATTTGTATAAAATGTATGCAACATTATTTTTATAAAGTTACAAATACCTAATGAAAAGAAAAGTTAGCCTCATTTTTTTTTTTTTTGTGCAAAAGTTAGCCTCATTATACAGGGGATTACATACATTCTTCTCTACATGACCCGGCGACCAAAATATAGACTAGATCTCTTACTTCACAAGTCTCTGCCACGTTCAAAAACACATTTGACTCTGATCTTAAATTACACTTTGTACTTTTTTTCCTTTTGGCTTATTCTTTCACCTGAAATCCACAAAAAGGAAGACCAAAACTTAGATACAGATGCTGAAAATAAAAAACGAAGAGGAATGACACTTAATCACTTGGCTCAAATTTTATCAATCACTAACCAACCATGTTATAATAATTGCATTTGTGTTGTTAACAGAGTCAAATCGAATCAGAGAAAAGTGTTCTGCCTAGGAACTACACAAGTGATTGGGTTCAAGATTTTTCAAGTTAAAACTAAACATCATCATCAACCATAAATCCATAAGGGACAATGATCTCAAACAAATCTTTGAGTCAACTTAGAAAGAACTCATCATAGTTTTGTGTTTCTTAACTTACCAGGGAGCCGACAAAATTGTCTCAAACTCAAACTCCACACCTTCAAGCTCTACATCAAGATCTTTTGCGCATGACTCCATCTGACATATCTTTTTGTAGGCTGCATCTTTCTGTTCTTTTGCTGCTTCTTTTTGTTTTTTTAGAGCGGCTTCTTGCCTATGCAGCTCAAGAATCTTTCGTTCTATCTTATCAAACTCTTGTTTAGCCTTTCGATTATTGCTAGATTCATCCGTCATCTCTTTGTCAAAACCTTTTAGTTCCTCCAATATATCTAGTTGTCTATCTTTGAGTGCCAACAGCTTGTCGATCCGTGATAAAGCCGTTGTAACACTGAAACCGTATTTCTCTAGCTCTGAAAATGAATCTTTGAGGCTATTTAGTTGGCTTACGGGAACGTCGGTTTCAAGATCTTTAAATTTCTCCAGTAACCCAGAATAAATCACCATCAGACCTAATGCATACCCTTCACGGAAATCTTCTTTACTCTTTAATAATGGGCTGAAATGAGGACTTTGTGGTACTCTTTTGAAGACCTCGGTTGATTCATATATCTTCCAACACGGTGACTTCTTCACGAAAGGCAAAACCATTTCTGTATCCTTTGCTTGGGTTTCCTCAACATTAGAACCAACATTCTTCACCACATTGGGGGTCCGATCTGAGGATAACACTGGACAGATCAACGTATACCCAAAACAATGAGAATAAAGTACTTTGTTTAGTGTATCTACCAGTAATAGTTATTACTTTTCATGGATCTCAACCTTTTGACCATTGCAAGAAGATCCTAAATTCCAGAAGGTCCAATGAGAGTTGAAACATACCAGTCTCATTGAGGTCTGAATTGTGTTCTAGTTGTCCTCTCTTCCTCTTCCGAGTGTAAACTTTGCTGTAATGCTTCTCAGGCATATGTGCATAAAAGTGTTAAACCAAATGGAGAGCCATCTCAGAGATAAATAAGTAGTCATGAAGATTATGTTAAAACAGTACCTTCTCTCGAGTTGGCTCATTTCTCGAGCCAATTTGATTCTTCATTGGCTCAGGGGATATCTTTCCCTGGGTTTTGTTCATTGTTGCAGTCATGCCCTGGGTTATATGTGAACCAGATCCTTTTTCTGACAAAACAAAGACCATTTAAGACCAATTTCAGGGTAAAAAGAACAAACAAGGGTTATGAGAGAATCCACTTGCGGGATTATGACCAGAGTATAACCATTTACTACATTGTTAGCCATCCCATTTCCCGGCAGTTCCTTTGTCTGCACATTTCCAGTGTCCAAAGCCACTGACTTGTTTCTTTTGCCGTCTAAAGAAGTTTTTTTTTGACCTTTTGGCTGAAAATAGAGAGAACATTAAAAACACTTCAATTAAGCCTCAAAGATGTCACACTAAATAAACCAAACCAACACTATGTTGACTGAAACCAGTGATATACCTTTGTTATTTTATGCCAAATTCCATCTTTCCACTCCATTGGAGGCCTAAGATCTGAATGACTGAATTGCGACGCGGCCCTTGTTGCCCCGAAACTTACCATGTATCGTCCCTCAAAGACAATTCCCCTCACCACACCTTGACGCCATTCAAAATGACTAAACACCTCTACATGATCCAACAAATCAAACCCTCCGACAGAAAAAGGAGGCTGCTTAGGCCTGACACTAAGGGAATCAACGGTTATGATTCCTGATTCCTCCCTGCAGGTGAAGGACTTATCCCAGTGCTTGACAATAAACCTCTTCCCATTCTCCAACTCCTTAATGACAATCACCGGAAGCCAAGCAAAATCCAGTCTCAATTCCACCATTGTCCCGCAACTATAAACAACAGACTTGACCAATTCCTTCAAGGACAACAAAGTGATAAAAGTTAAAAACTTTGACATGCAACATAACGGAGAAACGATTGAAAGAAAGCATCATACCTTATTATCAGGTCGGACCCATTTGAAGCCGGTCCAATCGAGATGAACCCTCAATTTCTTATTCTCAACCTCAATGATGTCTGGTGGGGAATCGAAATAAACCCAACATTTCTCATCCTCCAATGTTTTGATTACCACACAAGTCCACCACCCATATTTGAGATAAGCGTCGACCATCAAACCTTCTTCAAAAACGACGCCGTCGTTCAGATCCTCCGGTGGGACAGGTCGAATTAAGCTCTGATCGACGAATTCCGTTAGAGGAGACCAAGGGTCCTTATCGAGCAGCGTCAAGTTACGAACTTTAAGCTTTTTGCGTCCTGATTCCGTTGGGTCATCTTCCAGAATCGCTCTGTACCAAGACTCTTTAAACTCCTCTTCACAATAAACTTCTACTTTACAGTCTTTTCTAATAAATACCGTTTGCTCCATCTCTCGATTTAGTAGTATGCTTACTCAAAACCCCTAAATCTACTTCTCTTTTTGTAGCCAAAACATAGTGCTTATTACTGTGCTAGTAGTGTCTAGTGGAGAAGAAGAAGACGACGATACACCTTGGGAAAAGTGTATTTATTTCCAATTTAGTTTTCTTTTTCTTGGGCGCTTGAAATTATGAAAACAAATTCATTTAAGAATTATCAGGCCCAAACTATCTAATGGGCCTAATTTAAAACGGTGTCGTTTCATAGGATCTTCATCACGGAGCAGGTAAGTAAAAATATCTTATCCTCTCCGAAACTCTAGTGAAGAGTCTCAAGTGAACAACACTCTCTCTTCGATTTCTGCAGTTTCAATGGCTTCCTTAACAACATCTTCGTCTTCCTCGCTTCTTCCCAAAACACTTCTCCCCGTAAGCCATCTGAATCGTTTCTCTACACTCTCCGATATCCGCGTTGGCGACACATGGACTCCTCTGCTCCGGAGCATCTCCACCGCTGGGTCTCGGCGTCGGGTGGCGATTGTGAAAGCTGCGACGGTGGATTCTGATTACTCGTCGAAACGGAGTAGTAGTAATGAGCAGAGAGAGACGATTATGCTTCCTGGATGTGATTACAATCATTGGCTTATTGTAATGGAGTTTCCCAAAGATCCAGCGCCAACTAGAGAGCAGATGATTGATACTTACCTTAACACTCTTGCTACTGTTCTTGGAAGGTTCGTTTTCGCTTTGTTATTGGTTCTCTTCGTTGTTGAGAATTAGTTAGCTAATGGGTGAGATATGTTTGTGTTGTTAATGGACTTGTCATGAATCCTTTGATTGAAACCAATGTCGAACATAGGAATATTAGGGTTTTCACTTGGTATGTGATGATAATGTAAGGATAAGGGTTTAGTGAGGTGAGTAAAACTTTAGCTTTAAATTTGCTCTGAAGTTGACCTAGTTTCCAGAATTTGTTCTAAAACTCTACCTGAGGATTGAATATGTATGTTGAAGTCTGTTCGTTATGGATATATCAGTGTCATCTTTAGCTGAATTGTTTTTCATCTCTTGATATGTGCAAACATATTGAACATTGCTGCTTATTGAAACCACAACTTCGATGTCTAAAACATTGTGCTCACTAGCGTAATTATGAATGAAAATAGGAGGGAAGAATAGAAGCATCTATTTTGCATATTTTCTTCAAGCTATGTATAAATTGTAGATGTTGTACATGGTTCTGTTTGTTAAGAGTTGATGTGGATAGTGTAAGCAAGTAATGTATGTAAAAGGATTTTAGTGTACAGTTGTGAAGAGCATTAGATTGGGACTCCTGACTAGAATTTCCTGGATAAAGCAGGGAACGAGTTTGTGTTACACAACAAAGGACTAAAACTTTAGTTTATTTGGTACTATCCTGCTGCTTGTTATAACCAATTAGTGTACTTGTGTCCATTTTCCAGCATAACGAGTTAATTGTGTGTGCTTATTGAGTGTATTTGTGTCTATTTTTCAGCATGGAAGAGGCAAAGAAGAACATGTATGCATTCAGTACCACCACGTATACTGGATTCCAATGCACCATCGACGAAGAAACATCTGAGAAGTTCAAGGGTTAGTTAGTGAGCAAGAAGAGCTTTAGTCAATTTATGCCTGTACTCGTCGAAAACCTTCAAGATACTGATCGTTCTGTCTTTCATTTTTTTTGCAGGTTTGCCTGGAGTGCTCTGGGTCTTGCCTGACTCCTACATAGATGTCAAGAACAAAGACTATGGAGGTAACCCTATCAAAGCCTGATTTTAAATTTTGTACCAGGGTCTCTCTTAGTATCTGTGTCCTGATCATTGGATTGTCCTTTTTTTGGTTTAGGCGACAAGTACATCAATGGAGAGATTATCCCGTGCACATACCCAACATACCAACCAAAGCAGCGCAATAACACAAAGTATCAAAGTAAGAGGTACGAAAGAAAAAGAGATGGTCCTCCACCACCAGAACAGAGGAAACCAAGACAAGAACCCGCCGCTTCTGATTCCTCTTAAACGATAATAAGATAATGGAGTGTTTGCAAGTTTTGATCTTTTGGTTAGTCCCTTAGCTTATTGAAGTCGAGTGTAAAATCGTCTAGTACCCAAATGATGATACTATCATCACCACACCTTGAACAATATTTTTATTGTTTTGTAGGATGAACTTCAACTTGAACCATTTGTTTTTTTAGGGTATGTTTGGCTTTGGTTTGGTTTGATTTCTCTGTCAACCACTACTTCATCCCACGTTTTCTCAACACCAATTTCGGACAAGACAAAGCAATTGCGTCTGTTGATACTTTTTTGTAGGGTCACACTCGTCACCAACTCACCATCTACATCAGTCGTCCCTACCTTATCAACACATCACATGGAAATAATACACTACTCTCTCTCGGACTTAGAACCAAACATTCCAAATTAGTTTAATCTACAGATCACCACTGCTCAGCCGAATCTTTTTCTCTCATCAACCGCAGAGATAGACTTTCAAGATCATCCTTCAAGCTCTCTCAAATGGCCAATTTCTATGAGAATTACCAGATTCCTTACGATTACAATCAGGTTAATAATCTCTACGATCAAAATCATTATCATTACAACCAACAGCAGCAGCTTGGTTTCGAACCAATGAGTTATAACTATTATAACTGGAATCATTCTGAATCTGAATCTGAATCTGTTGCTTACTCTGGTTATGATGATCCAATGAGTTATAATTGTTATAACTGGAATGGATCTGAGTCTGAGACAAGCTCTGCATCTGTTGCTTACTCTGTTTCTACCATGTCTGAGCCTAAACACTTGTTCTATGATCCGAATCTCTATACAACAACCTACGAATCTCCTCCTCAGTTTAGTATCTATTGCTCTGTAGCCTCTGCTCTTGAATTCAACGAGCCGGAATTCGATGATTATGATCCGACGCCGTACGGTGGTGGCTACGACGTTGTTGCAACCTATGGAAAACCTCTTCCTCCATCGGTGGAAACTTGTTACCCTTCTTCAACGGCTCCTCACGCTAAAGCTCCCTCTCCTCCTGAGATTATAGCTCCTGTTCCTCTTGGAATATATGATGGTGGTCAAAAGAATGTTATCAAGAAACGTGTGTCTTTCGCTGAACCGGTAGAAGAAGCCAAACCAATGGAAACCATTAAAGAAGAAGAACAAGAACAAGACGAAGAAGATGAAGAAGAAAGTGAGGAAGACGATGATTATGATGAGGAAGAGGATGAGGAAGCTAAAGAAGAAGAAAGAGATCACAGTTCAAGCTATGGAAATGAGAAATCTGAAACTGTAGATAAAGGAGAAGTGAAAGCTTTGTATGTTCCGTCTGGTTACGGCTTAGAAGCAACGGATCTCTGTGAGGTTATATTTGGAGGTTACTTTCCTTGTGTGTTACGTAACAAAAGACGGCAGGAAGATGAACAAGATCGTGCAGCTGCTGTTTCTTGCTGGGAAAGCAACGATTCTGATCCGTGGAAGACGACTTCCGATTACCTTTTCGGGGATTCATACCCGTACGGTAACGAGAATTGGAGCGAAAGAAGTAAGTTCGAGATCTCTTCTTATGGTTACCGGATGTATTAACTACCCTAGTTATCATCAGATGTGTCAATGTGAGGTAAGAACAACATTCTTTTGATTATTGATGAACCTGCTTTATTAGTATATCTTATACAAGAGATCAGATTTACTGTTGTATAACGAGGAGGGATTACTTAATAATAAAACTTTGCACGCAAAATTTATCTTCAAACTTTCTTTTTGTAACATTCTCTTCTTCTTTCTTTTGAGATCCAACGTCAGTAATGTTTTTTTTAATTCGTTTTTTTAAAATTTAAAATCTTTAAATACCACACTGGATGTGATAATTGATTACTATTCTAGGATCCATCGTAATTATTAATGGTCTATATACATTTCTTTGTGAAAAAGACCAAATAAATGAAATAATGTGCTATGGTATTAGTATATCTATCAATGTAAGTACAAGCGCACAAGAAGTTGTAGCATATAGAAGTCAACGATGAAGATGAGAAAGCTGAAGTTGAAGAACACTCTTAATAACAAAGAACACCATGTGGTTGTATCAACGGTTTCTTGAGTGTCCTTAAAGAAATATGTTACAAAGAATATTATTTTTTGTGTTTTTTGGAAACTCTTTTGAGATGTTAACATGCATGTTAAGTGTTAACCAATAAATTAAGTAAATACTTTTTCGGAAATATTTTTTGTGGATGTAAGTTGTTTACTTTTTTTTTTGGTAGGAATATTTGTAAGTTGTTTACTTGAGCATGTAACTGTTTTGAAGCAAAAAAAAAAAAAAAAAGGTAAGCATGGAATTTTCAAAACTATACTAATTATAGACAATATGCAAAAACTATATACACGTGATAATATAATAAGACACAATGACATGTTACTTATTAAAACAAAAATTTTAATGAGCAAATATTGATCTGGAGGCTTAATTAACTCTCTTTTTGAGACGTCTTACTTTTTTTATATTCTTATCCCTTTCTATTTCAGTTATATATAGTATAATCGGAGCAATTCACCATATATAAAAACCCTTCATCAAATAGAAAAAATCACCATTTATAAAAGAATAATAATTATTGAGCTTTGGTTCTAACTTTTTTTTATCGAATAATCCTTTTGTTTCAGTTTAAATATTGTTTTCTTTTAAATGGTTACATTTTAAGTGATGTTTTAAAGTTTTTATGCAGAAAAAATAAATATGTTTGATTTTTTAACCATTTCTATAATGCAATATGCTTTTTTCTTGGTTGAATTAGTTTTAATTAAATAAATTTTTATATTAAAACGATAAATTAAATGAAATTTCTATTATTTTTAAATTTATGTACCAACACTTTAAATATTATTTAAAATGAAACAAATAGAATATATTATATACCAATCTTGTGAATTTATTCTAGAAGAAGTCAGAACCACTAACTTTTTTATATTGTAACATCATTAGAACCACTAACTCAATTGTTATTATATTAGTAGAAGGATTATGTGTCTGCACTACGGGAGAGAAAATTGCCCGTCCATATATATATATATATATATATATATATATATATATATTTGGTAAAACCCGTCCATATATTTTCTAATGAGCTATACGAAAATACGCACACGCAATTTCACGAAGACTAACGAGCCATGCTCACCAAAACAAAACAAAAATCAGTCCAATTATAAGTGAAGGTAAAGAACCCAAACTTGAACCTGTCCAGACGGACATGCAAGTGTATAAGTGTCCTTAACATTCATACCAAAAAAAGTGTATAAGTGTTATTATATTACACTTAGGTATAGATTGAGATATACCGACACTTTTTTACTTCATTTGCATGAATTCATTTTCCTACTAGACTGATCAGTTCCCACATCTCTCATGTCTCAACTCTCTTTTTTTTTTTTCTTTTTTTTTCGCCAATCTCAACTCTCTTTTATCAAAATTATTTCGATAATTTATAAGGTGCACGGCAGATAACACGTGTGATAGCCAATGTATCGCTGTCTCATATAACGTATAAAATGGAAATCTAATAATTAGTAATGTAAAAAGTTAATTCATCGGCGTCTCATGAAACATGTGATAATGGCAATGTATCGGTGTCTCATTTCTACAATATAATGGCACAAAAAAAAAACGAAAAAACAGTAAAGGTAATCGTAATTGTACATCGCAACATTGACCGGAAAAAAAAAAGATTTTTACTGCAGCAGCGACGAATTGTTTACTTATCCTACTTTTTTAATAGTGCTTTGTTATTGTTCCCATCTTCAGAAACGTTTATACTATATATAAGAAATTTTTTATTAAAAAAAAAAACAAAATTAAGCTAGTTATGTGGGTGGGAACATTTAAATTGTTTAAATATGTTAACTTTTTAGATAATATTATTTTTTTTACTTTTCCACACATAATGCGGAACAAGATTCTAATATTATTTAAATTGAATTCAACACCACTAAGTTTTTTTTTTTTTTTTATAGAAAGACCACTAATACAACAATTCTTCAACTCGGGGTTGTTCCTATTAGAATGAGAGAGAACCCATACACACCTTCTTATAAATATGGGAAGGTTGCCAATTACTCAAAGCACATTGGGTCTTAACTCTTTCTGTTACACAAACACACACATAGAAAGAAAGAGAGAGATGAGTGAGGATATGGGAGGAGTGAAAGTAGTCTCAAAATGGCCACCGGTTATAGTTATGGTGGCATCACAAGTAGCGATGGGTTCGGTGAATGCACTTGTGAAGAAAGCTCTCGATGTTGGTGTGAACCATATGATCGTTGGTGCTTATCGAATGGCTATTTCCTCGCTCATTCTGGCTCCTATTGCCTATTTTTTGGAAAGGTTTATTGATATTTTGATGTACAATTTCAAAAGGTCAAAAGATTATTTTCATATTTATATACCACTTATCAATACCTATTATAAGAAAAAAGTACGTCTTGAGGCTAATAAAATTGAAGATTGTGAGAATTCTCTATTTTAACATATAAATAAACACCACTGTATGTTACTAATATATGAAGTTTATTGACTTTTTTTCCCTAAAATTTTATGTCTTATTGTTAACAGGAAAATAATACCGCAAATAACGTTTAGGCTAATGGTCGATCATTTCATCAGTGGTTTGCTCGGGTTTGTCTTCTCAAAACTAATTTCTCAATTTATTGTGTTCTTTTGTCATTTTCAATTTCTCTTTATACTATACGTTGATTTTTTTCCACATAGGAAAGATTTTCTTTCAAGTAGCATAAAAATCATCATAAGCTAAATTATTTTTAATTTTAGTTAATTTAGTTATGGGTTTGAATTTGCAGGGCAAGTTTGATGCAATTTTTCTATTTGCTGGGTCTGTCGTATACGTCAGCAACTGTTGCGTGTGCTTTGGTAAGCTTGATGCCTGCAATCACCTTCGCTTTCGCTCTTATTTTCAGGTAATGATAGAACCATCTAACTTCGTTATCATTAATAAGTATATACTATTACTATGTAATTGGTCCATGTAGGATTAATTAGTTTTGTTATGTACAAATGCATATAACTCCGTTTCTTTTTTCACCAAGCATATCACTTTTATACTAATACTCAAAAGCACCTTACTCATAAATTATCTCAAAATTATCATCTAAACAATTATATTACTTTTCAGGACTGAAAAGATAAAAAATCTAAAGACCCAAGCAGGAATGATAAAAGTGATGGGAACTATCATATGTATAGGTGGAGCTTTGTTCTTAACATTTTACAAAGGCCCTCATATATCAAACTCTCACTCTCACCTACAGGCTCTTCCTCACACCAACAGCAATCACAACACCAAGAATTGGCTTCTTGGATGTCTCTACTTAACCATAGGAATCGTGTTGCTATCTCTATGGATCTTGTTTCAAGGGACTTTAAACATCAAGTACCCTTGCAAATTCTCAAGCACTTGTCTCATGTCAATTTTCGCAGCTTTTCAGTGTGCTCTATTGAGTCTTTACAAGAGTAGAGATCTTAAACATTGGATCATCGATGATGGATTTGTGATCGGTGTCATCGTATATGCTGTAAGTTCTAATATTATATTTTCATAAATCTAAATTTTAGTCAATTATAAAGTTAGTATACAAAATGTAACTGGTAATGCTTTTCTTAGTCTTTGTTTTACAAAAATTTGAAAATTTTGTCCACAACTTGGATAAACTACTCTTAATTATAGGGAGTGATAGGACAAGCAATGTCGACTGTAGCAGCGACATGGGGAATAACGAGATTAGGAGCTGTTTTCGCATCAGCAATTATGCCAGTTTCTCTAATTTCGGCTACTCTATTCGATTTCCTAATCTTAGACACTCCTTTATACCTCGGAAGGTGCTCTCTTCGATCATCTCTTTAAATTCGTTTCTAGATAGCTTTATATATATAAATCTATGTAGGTCCATGCTCATAACACTAATCACAAGTTTTTTTTTTTTTCTTAACTTTTGCTATACAGTGTGATTGGATCAGTAGTAACAATAATAGGTCTTTACGTGTTCTTGTGGGGTAAGAACAAAGAAATGGAAGCATAACTACATTGTCTTCTCGGATGAATAACGAAGACCAACATTAAATATTAGTGTGTTTTTTTTTTTTGAAATATTAGTGTTGTTATAATAGTATGATGTATATGGCTTCATTGTCCACGTCGAGAATTAGTAATGACTCTCTCGGCGAAAAGAGAAGTAAAAAAAATTCAGATTCAAATTGTACAAGCAGTTTGTATAATTAATACAGTAGAACCTCTATAAATTAATACTCGATAAATTAATAAATATAATAAATTAATAAATTTTGCCGGTTCCGAGTTGGGCCAATGTAAAAATTAACGAAATTTGATAAGATAGTAAGATAATAATTTTTTTGAAATCCCTATATAAAAATATGGTCCCAATAATATTATTAATAATCATGTAAATTTTTACATTATATATATATATTAGGGGTTTTCATAAAAATAGCCAAAATTTATTGAGAAATTGTTAAAAATGTTCTTTTTTCAATACCCCTTTTCAAAAATGCCCCCTTTGAGAGTCCATTTTTAAATTTGCCCTCTTTTAATTTTTAATGACCATTTTACCCTTATTTGAAACAAAATTAGGTCTACAAAATACAAAATATTTTTTGGCGGGAAAAGTGATCCCGCAATTTTCCCGCCAAAACACTTGTAAAAAACCTTTAAAATACCTTGTAAAATTTTCCAGTAAAAATTTTTCCCGCCAAAAAATTTTTTTGAGGGAAAAGTGATTCCGCAATTTTTTTGGCGAAATTTTTTTGGCGGGAAAAATTTACAAGGTATTTTAAAGGTTTTACGAAGTATTTACAAGTGTTTTGTAAGGTTTTACAATGTATTTTAAAAGGTTTTACAAGGTACTTATAAAATTTTATAAGGAATTTATAACTTGTAAAAAACTTGTAAAACCTTATAAAAAACTTGTAAAATCTTATAACTTGTAAAACCTTATAAAATAGCTTGTAAAATCTTATAATATCTTATAAATACCTTATAAATACGTTGTAAAACCTTTTAAAATACATTGTAAAACCTTATAAATACCCTGAAAAAACCTTTAAAATACCTTGTAAATTTTTCCCGCCAAAAAT